TAACTGAATTCACAAAAATTGAAATAACTAAATCAATAAAAATCTTAAATTAAATTAATCATTTCGTTTATTTCGCATAATTCATGCATACCTTAAGAAAATCTTGAAATCTTTGTGGTTTTGGTGTATGATCAGCATCGTTTGGAATTGCTGCTAATAAATTTTCTTGTAAATTCTTATCCAATGCATCAAATAATCGAAATGTATCCAATTTGAATTGATTTGCCTGAAATTGTTAACCTTTTATATGTATGACCTTTAACCCTAAATTTTTTTGTATTAATTTTTGTATTAATCTTAAGAGTGAGTTGAAAAATTAGAATTTCATTATGGCAATTTTTTTTTAAAAAATACAAAAGTAATAAAAATGTTTAAAAAATTTTTTTGAATATTGATTAATTTTCATTACATATATATATGATTGTATGTGTGTGTATGTATGTGTATCTGCGCATTTATTTATTGTATGCGCATTTGTCGTATGTGTATTTATTGTATGTGCATTTATTATCTGTACACTTATTTGCTTGTTTATGTAACCATCAAACATCAAACAATTGAATCAAATATTTATTTGACACATTTGAAATACAACAATTCAATCATAACAATAATTTTTAATTTTTACAGTAATAGTTAAATAATTTTCATGTAATGAATTCAATAATTTAATTGTTGCAGAACTATTTTATTTGATTAAGATGCATTTGCTAATAATAATACTATTTAATTTTCTAATTAATTATCACTTGCTAATAATAATGCTATTTAAGTTTCTAATTAATTATCACTTGCTAATAATAATACTATTTAAGTTTCTAATTAATTATCACTTGCTAATAGTAATACTATTTAAGTTTCTAATTAATTATCACTTGCTAATAATAATACTATTTAAGTTTCTAATTAATTATCACTTGGTAATAATAATACTATTTAAGTTTCTAATTAATTATCACTTGCTAATAATAATACTATTTAAGTTTCTAATTAATTATCACTTGCTAATAATAATACTATTTAAGTTTCTAATTAATTATCACTTGCTAATAATAATACTATTTAAGTTTCTAATTAATTATCACTTGCTAATAATAATACTATTTAAGTTTCTAATTAATTATCACTTGCTAATAATAATACTATTTAAGTTTCTAATTAATTATCACTTGCTAATAATAATACTATTTAAGTTTCTAATTAATTATCACTTGCTAATAATAATACTATTTAAGTTTCTAATTAATTATCACTTGCTAATAATAATACTATTTAAGTTTCTAATTAATTATCACTTGCTAATAATAATACTATTTAAGTTTCTAATTAATTATCACTTGCTAATAATAATACTATTTAAGTTTCTAATTAATTATCACTTGCTAATAATAATACTATTTAAGTTTCTAATTAATTATCACTTGCTAATAATAATACTATTTAAGTTTCTAATTAATTATCACTTGCTAATAATAATACTATTTAAGTTTCTAATTAATTATCACTTGCTAATAATAATACTATTTAAGTTTCTAATTAATTATCACTTGCTAATAATAATACTATTTAAGTTTCTAATTAATTATCACTTGCTAATAATAATACTATTTAAGTTTCTAATTAATTATCACTTGCTAATAATAATACTATTTAAGTTTCTAATTAATTATCACTTGCTAATAATAATACTATTTAAGTTTCTAATTAATTATCACTTGCTAATAATAATACTATTTAAGTTTCTAATTAATTATCACTTGCTAATAATAATACTATTTAAGTTTCTAATTAATTATCACTTGCTAATAATAATGCTATTTAAGTTTCTAATTAATTATCACTTGCTAATAATAATACTATTTAAGTTTCTAATTAATTATCACTTGCTAATAGTAATACTATTTAAGTTTCTAATTAATTATCACTTGCTAATAATAATGCTATTTAAGTTTCTAATTAATTATCACTTGCTAATAATAATACTATTTAAGTTTCTAATTAATTATCACTTGCTAATAATAATACTATTTAAGTTTCTAATTAATTATCACTTGCTAATAATAATACTATTTAAGTTTCCAATTAATTATCACTTGCTAATAATAATACTATTTAAGTTTCTAATTAATTATCACTTGCTAATAATAATACTATTTAAGTTTCTAATTAATTATCACTTGCTAATAATAATACTATTTAAGTTTCTAATTAATTATCACTTGCTAATAATAATACTATTTAAGTTTCTAATTAATTATCACTTGCTAATAATAATACTATTTAAGTTTCTAATTAATTATCACTTGCTAATAATAATACTATTTAAGTTTCTAATTAATTATCACTTGCTAATAATAATACTATTTAAGTTTCTAATTAATTATCACTTGCTAATAATAATACTATTTAAGTTTCTAATTAATTATCACTTGCTAATAATAATACTATTTAAGTTTCTAATTAATTATCACTTGCTAATAATAATACTATTTAAGTTTCTAATTAATTATCACTTGCTAATAATAATACTATTTAAGTTTCTAATTAATTATCACTTGCTAATAATAATACTATTTAAGTTTCTAATTAATTATCACTTGCTAATAATAATACTATTTAAGTTTCTAATTAATTATCACTTGCTAATAATAATACTATTTAAGTTTCTAATTAATTATCACTTGCTAATAATAATACTATTTAAGTTTCTAATTAATTATCACTTGCTAATAATAATACTATTTAAGTTTCTAATTAATTATCACTTGCTAATAATAATACTATTTAAGTTTCTAATTAATTATCACTTGCTAATAATAATACTATTTAAGTTTCTAATTAATTATCACTTGCTAATAATAATACTATTTAAGTTTCTAATTAATTATCACTTGCTAATAATAATACTATTTAAGTTTCTAATTAATTATCACTTGCTAATAATAATACTATTTAAGTTTCTAATTAATTATCACTTGCTAATAATAATACTATTTAAGTTTCTAATTAATTATCACTTGCTAATAATAATACTATTTAAGTTTCTAATTAATTATCACTTGGTAATAATAATACTATTTAAGTTTCTAATTAATTATCACTTGCTAATAATAATACTATTTAAGTTTCTAATTAATTATCACTTGCTAATAATAATACTATTTAAGTTTCTAATTAATTATCACTTGCTAATAATAATACTATTTAATTTTATGTGCTAAAATTGAAATCACTACGAAATACTAATATAATTTTCTTTTTTTTATATCTTTTTTTTAATTAATTAATTGCGTTTTTGTCTTTTTATCTCTAATCATTATCAATTATCAATATCACATATTTTGTGCTATAATTTGCAAAAATAATATTTTAATGAAAATTTAATTACTCCAATAATTAATGATATTGCATTAGAAAAAATAAGACAAGGAATTTTTTTACCTTTACAAATTAATTAAATTAATAGCATATTTCTAAAATATTTGTATTACTTCTTTTTCTTCTCATTTTCCTATTCTCACTCTCTCTTTCTCTCTCTTTTCCCCTCTCTCTCCCTCTCTCTTCCCTTGACATAATTTTTGTTACATAAAATTTTTTCAGTTGACAATTTGATGACAGCTATTTGTTAGATTCAGTTTACTTACTTATTTGTTAAATATTTTTATATTATTTTTGATGAAAATAAACCTGCAATTTGTTGAGAATTCCATTGAAACCTGTTTAGATTCTACCTGTTTTGTTATAAATTATTATTACTATTATTGTTATTGTTATTGTAGTAATTGTTGTTGTTGTTGTTGTTATTGTCGTTGTTATTGTTGTTGTTATTGTTGTTGTTGTTGTTACCCATGTTGCTATCATTATTTGATGAGAATTATTTGATGAAAGGAGACAGAGAGTGAGAGAGAGAGAGAAAGAGAGGAGGAAAAAGAAAAAAAATTATAAAATTAAACATTTTTGAATTTTGAAAGACACAAAAATTTTAAATTATTGTAAAATTTTTTTTGCAGCTTAACTTATTTCTTTTTTTTTTTGCTTTGATCTAATGTATAATTAAATGTAAAATTTATGAATTCAAAGAAATTAATAAAAATTTATGGGTAACTAATCCTAATCATTTCAGTTTGTTTCACGTATTCAACGTGAAATTGCAAATTTTGCTCCCTGTTTATTTTTAGAATTTCAGTGAATGCATGATTTTTTTTTTAATTTTAAATTTAAGTCTTGCAAGTTTTGTTGAGTCAATAATTTTAATTGTAGTGCATCAAATGAATAATAAGAAAATAATAAAAATATGCAAATTTTAATGATCAAATTAATAAAATAATAAGCTTTAAAAAGCAATTAATATGTATGATAGCTTAAATTTCTTTAGTACGAAGTAATTTCATTATGGAAAATTACGATGAAATTTTCAGCCTAATACTCTTACCCATTCCTCATAATAACAATAATAATAATAATAATAATAATAATAATAATAATAATAATAATAATAATAATAATAATAATAATAATAATAATAATAATAATAATAATAATAATAATAATAATAATAATAATATCATTTGAATCAGTTACATATGCTATTTAATTAATTAATTAATTGATTGTTTTCACAATTAAAATGTGTTCATTGTTTGTATCTTTTTTTTTCTGAAACAATAAACATTCATTCTGTTTTTTGTTATAAATTAAGTTGGCATATAAAACAAAATTAAAAATAACCTTAGCAAGTTTTTTTGCCTTTTCGAAAAAATGCTTTTTCGTTTTATTTGATCATAACCGTTCGTTATAATTAAAATGAATTAAATAATTCAATAATTAGACTAATTGAAAATTTTATATAATTAGTGCTAATAAAATAATTTATCACTTTTTGTTTGAAAGGTGGAAAAAGAGAAAATTTAAAATTATGGTGAAACATTAAGCAAACAAATTGTTTATTTAAGCATATAATAGTAAATACGCATAAATTTTGTGTCTCTTTTTTAAACTTTTTAAACAGCAAATTCCCGCACAAAATGACGAACCGGTGGTGGTGGTGTTATCGGATCCGGTACGTAATCCTGAATGCCATTCTTTTCGATACGACACGGTGGTATCGGTATTGACTTAACTGATTTCACCCAAAATTCTTTCTGTGCCTTAACTACGGTTGCCCTAAAAGATGATAATAAAGTTAATATTAATATTAATAATATTTTTATTAATTTCTTTCAATTTTTTACATTTGATAGAGTAATTTAGATGAAAAAAAGAATTGATAAAGCGAAAGAAAGTTTGGCAAAATGATAAAAATAATTAAAAAACACTGATAAAATGATAACAAAAAACATCATTGATAAAACAATAAAGAAATAATAAGAAAGCAATGTTAAAATTTTGATAAAATTTTGATTAAAAAAGTAATAAGATAACAAAAGAAAAAGAAATGAAGAAAACAAAAAAAAAAATAATAAAATAATTAAAATTGCTGATAAAATTAATATTATCGTTTTACCTTTCTTTTAAAAGAATTATTAATTATTATTTAAATTGAATTTAATTTACACATTTGTCAGAATACTAAAACCAAATCAAATTAAATATTACACATAAAATTGATTAATTAATACACTTAAAAGTGTCTAATCAATCAATTAACAAGCGATTAAGCATTCAATTAAACAATTCAGTCAAATTAATTGTTTAATTAATATCTACTAATATTAGCAATTAGAAGTAAATATGACTAAATTAAAATTATCTAAATTTAATCTCAAAAAAAAAAAAAATCTTTTAATATTATTTAATTAAATGAAAATAATTTTGCTAACACGAATTGTACGTAATCATCATCGTTTAATTCATTTTTCCACCACAATTTAATTTGCTTCTTTTTTTCGTCATGCGAATGTGTCACCGAATTTTTGAATCGAAAACATTGCTGTTGCCAGGATCCGTTATCGTCTAATCGTAAAAATTGTCCAATTCTTTAAAATTAAAACGATAAATGAATAAAAATCATTTTGAATGGTTTTTTAAAAGAATGAAAATTAATTCTGAAAATAATGAAGAAAAAATTTTTTAATTCTTTAAATTTTAAATACTACTGAGCGACAATTTTTAGTTTTCAGCAATAATTTGCTATTGTTATTATTATTATTACTACTATTATTATTATTATTATTGTTAATAGCATTAATGACTATTGTCCTTACTGCTCTTATTTTTTTATATCACAATTTTATGGTTGCTTTTATTGCTATTGTCATTCCTTACAAATATCATATACTAATTATTTATTATTATTATAATTATTATTATAATCATTTATTAATTACTATTGTTGTAAATAATCATTGTTGTCATTATCGTCAACAATATTAATAATTTTTACTTATAAAAAACATTTTGAATTTAATTGTAAAAACGAAATAATTGTGTTATCACATCTAAACTTAAAATATATATTTAAACTTAAAATGTTGCTGAATTTTTCAAAAACAATTATTTCGATCAAATCAATTATCTAAAACAATTGTCTATGCAACGAAATAAAATTAATGATACACTTTAAAAAAAAGATTTTTTTTTTGTGTTATTTACCTTTTACCTCGATTTGGTCCTCTATAAGAAATTGGTTGAATAGCAAAACCACGAAAGCGATCTGTGCTTGCATTTCCTTTCAGATTTACTGCAATTATTTATTGTCATTATCGTCATCATTATTATCATGATTATCATGGTCATCATGGTTTTCACCACAATAAATAATTACTATTATTATTATTATTTATCGCTTTTGTTGAATATTATTATCATTAATATTATTATATTTACGATATACCATTATTATTATTATTATTGTCTTATTATTATTAATAATTTTTTTCATTGCCATTGTTATCATTGTTATTATTATTGATCACCAGTTGCTGTTATTATTATCATTATTATTGTTATTATTATTGCTATCATTATTGATTACTATAGTGCTATTACTATTTATTATTATTATTCCCATTATTAATTTTTCGCATTATTATCATAAATTGAAAATTTTATGTCTAATCAAAATTATTGTTCCAATACATTTTTTTTTTTTTTTTTGATTGTCACAAATTAAATAGAAAATTAATGAGACATACATTCAAGAGGTTGATTTACCCAGTAGCACTTTTGACGAACTTCAATGTGATATGGTGGAACAGTAAGCTTAAAAGAAAAGAAATTAAATTAAAAATTAATAATTTTTATGTAATATTTCGAATTTTTCAAGCTAATATAACAAAAATCAAAATTATTAAATGAAATTTTAAAAATTCCACTTATTTAAATTTTTTTTTAATTTATAATTATCATTGTAAATTTAATTTGTTGTAATTTGAAACCACCTGTAAACCACCATAGTGCTCGACTGCTTCAAGTGGATTCATTGAATCAAACACAGCATGTGTACATGGTGCACCATCTGGCCAACTTATCACCACTGTTATCAGTGATAACACACTAAGTAACACTTGTAAATAACACATTGCTTTTTGCATGTAAAATCTATTTCTAAAATAAGTGATAAAGAAAGAAAAAGTAAGACGTATGGCTAAATTAAGATTATCATATTAGTAATCAATCATTCACGTACGAAATATTTACGCAATATTTTGATTACGTAAATTACAAAGATTATATCGCAGTCATATGCTAATTGTTACGTAACAAATATGTGTAAATAAAAGATATTTTTTTTTTAATATGTGATTGATAAGAGTGAATTTAAATTATATTTAAAATTTAATAGGTCATTATCAGACCTAAAATATTTCTATCTTAAAATCACACATAAGATTTCAATATTTCTAAATTATTGAAAAATAAAATTATCAGTTATTATCTTAAATCAATTACATTAGAGTATGATATATTGCTAATTATTAATTAATTAGCTAACATATATTAGTCATTTAGTATTTGCAAATTTTATTTCAACCTAAAAGATATTATCAGTTACTTTGATTTTATAGTGATTAATAAATTTATTAAAATTTTAAAATTACAAAAACAAAAAAATTAACTTACAAACTCATAATTAACTAAATTACAAACTTATATTGGTCTAAAATTACTGTCCAATTATTTCAATATACTTCCAATATTTTATTGCTTATATTTAAGTGAAACAAAAAAGAAAAAGAAAAAACCAAATATTTAAAAATAATATTAATAATTATCTAAAAATATTATGAATTACAATTACTTAAAATCATTATTAATATTCAAAATCAAATACTAAAAAATATTAACAATAAATGATATCTTATTAAATTTTTTTATCTTCATTTTCTTTTTTTTTTGAAATTATAAAATTTAATAGAGAATAATATTGAAGAATGAAATTAAATGAATTTCTAACAAAAATAAATAAATAAAATCGAATGATATCAATGAAAAATTGATGTATGTGCAAAATGTGAAATTTTTTTTTTAACAATTGAATTAAGACAAAAAAAAAAAAAAATTTTCAGCCGGTTTTATGGGTAAATGTTGATTGAAAGATACCTGGTTGATTGGTTGGGTAACCGATAATAGTTTGTTTCATGCAGCGCCACCCATTTCCTTTGGGTACAATATTATTACACTTATTGCTATTAGAATGAATAAAATTTTTTTTTTTTTTTTTTTAATTTTAAACTTTTAAAAGTTTATAAAAAAAAAGGAATGTTTAAGCAAATTAATCATAAATATAAACTTTAATTTATTCTTTATTTAATTGACATAAATTTGTCAACAATGAAAAAAAAATGAGGAATTAATTATTGTAGAAATTATTAATTAAAATATTAATTAGCCTACAAATAAATAAGTACTATTATGTATATTAATAAATATTTGATGTAATTTTGTTATCAAAATTTTAAATTTAATTTGAATAACAAAAAAAAGATGGAATTCTTTTTTTTTTTTTTTTTTTGATGCGACGAATTTGATTTCAAACAAATATTTACACAATTAGTGAAAAAAAAATTCTGCTATTGATCATTGCCAGAAGTGCTAAGAAATTTTCGAAAAAATTTTTTCTAATTTAAAAGAAAAAAAAAATTCTTTCTTTTTTATGTTTTTTCTTTTGATATCAATGCAATAGTAATTACTTTTGAATCATCAAAAATTCTTAATAAAAAGGAAGGAAAAAATTTTATTATTAATTTATCATTTGTATTACGCATTCAGATTAGTAAATATTTATTAATTTATTAATTAAGTTAGATAAATATTATTATTTTATTAATTAAATTACATAAATATTTTTAATTTATTAATTACATTACATAAATGTTATTAATTTAATTTATTAATTACATCACATAAATATAATTAATTTATTAATTATATTATACATTTAAACTATTAATTGTTATCAGTGATATGATTACTACATTAGAAGAAATGTTTTACAAAAAAAGACTATAATTTATTATTTCTTTTCGATTTCAAACTAATTTAAATGATTATTTGAAATGCTTTACTTTTGATGTAAAGTAATAATACATAGAAATATGTGAATAATTAATTAGGAAAAAAATAAATGTTAGTAATTTATAAGCAATCATTCATTACATCTATTTGTTATTGTCGTTATTGCTGTTGTCATTGTTGTTGTTATTGTTGTTGTTGTTGTTATTGTTGTTGCTCTCGCTATTATTGATTGTTGTTGTTATCATAAAATAAACGAGTTATCATAAATTTTAAATACCTCATTTTAAAACTAAATTTTGATACCTTAATCACATTACAGAAATAATTAAATATGAAATAGAAGACTGATTGCTAATCTAATATTTAAAAAAAAACAATCAATTATATAGTACTATGTTTTTTTTTTAAAATTTATTTTATGTGGCAACAAAGAAAATTCAATCATTTAAATGTTTGAAACGAAAAATTGTGAAGATTTATTTTAATTTAATATCTTTAACAAATAATAAACAAAATTTTACAATGAAATTAAATGTTAGATAGAAAATAATTCATTAAATAATTTGCATTTGTTATTAATTTCAGTACTTAATTAAATAAAATGATAGTGATAATGATAATGTTACTATTACTATTATCAATAATAGCAGTAATAATCATCCATCCAAAAAATCATATTTTAATTATTTAAAAGTTTTAACAATTTTTTCTAAGCAAAAAATATTATTTCGATTTTAAATCCAATTAATAAATTTTAATTTTTCACTAATTCATCTATCTATAACACAATTCATTAGCTTTGAAAGATTTTTGAAAATGAAATCACAATGGAATAAAATCAACTTCAGCTAATTTAATTAATAGCTTTTAAATTATATATGACATTGCACATGAATTAATTACCAAAAATTGATTTATAGGAATAATAAAGAAAATAAATTAGATCAAATTTTAATAGATCAAATTTTAATGGATCAAATCCGAATTCCTATTATTAAATTAGGTATTTGTGTACCGTAAATTAAACTCTATTTGTTTACTATTTTAATGCAATATTTTAAATTTTATACTATCAATCAAAAATTAAACCAAGGTAGTTTCTTAGCACATTAAATGAATTAAAACATAAATTAATATGAATCAAATATTATCAGTTTTGTAAAATATTTTACTTTAATATCAGCTAAATGTTTTAAATTCTATACTACAAAAAAAAGTTAAATTTAGATTTTGATAAGATTAAAAATTGTTAATTTGTCTAAAATTTAAGAAAATAAAATTGAAATAAAAAACAAAAAAGATGTCATTTTTATTTTTTTAAGAAAATTTTTGATTTTGTTCGTTTCATTCGTTTAAAAATGTTTGTTATATTGTCGTAAAACAGTTTCAAAAGTAAAAGACTTTGAAAGTTAATAAATAAATAAATAAATTTATGTTTAATTGAAAATAAAAATTTTTACAATGATAGAACTAGAAAATAGAAATGAAAAATTCACAAAAATTAACGAAAAGTTTTAAATTAAAGTTTTAATAAAATGAAAGAAAATATGGAAAGGAATGAGTTTGAAAAAGAAAGAAAAAATTTCAATAGAATTTAAAAACAGGTTGAAATATTATTTATAGTAAAAAATTTTTACTTCTCATTTGAAGTGGAAATTAAATTATTGAATGATTTTTTAAGTTATATTAAAAACGAATGAATAAAGTATGAAAAAAATACCTTTTTGCTTTAATTTGAATAAATATTAAAAAATTTTAATTAAATTAAAATTGATTGAGCTTTTGCTGAATTTTGTGTTAGTTAATAAAAAATTATTTGTGGACAAACAAAAATTAAAAAATAATTGGAAAATAATTAATAATTTATTCAATTTTCCTTTTATCAAATATCGATTATATTTTGAGTTTACTTACCTAGTAATTATTTAACAGTAAGAATCACTTAAAAGCAATTTAATTTGTGTTTTTTGACGTTAAATTCATCCTAATTTTAATAATTTTGTTAAAAAGACTTTTTGGAACAAAATTTTATTTTTTAAATTATGTAATGATGGCAAATTAAAATTTAATTTTTCAATAATTACAGGAAAAAACTTTTTCTTCGAAAATTTTAAAAAAAAACGGATTTTATAAAAAGGTTAATTTATTCTTTACCTTATTGGCATGTAAATATTTCATTTTACTTTTTGTTTAAATGAATAATATGTTAAATAAATTGTATATATGCAAAAGCTTCACAAATTATCTTCAACAACTAATTAATTAATTAATTAATTGGAAGTAATATTCTTCACTTATTGCATACTTTAATATTATTGTAATCAATCATTTTATGAGTATTACTATTAAAATCAGCAAAAATACTTAAATCGTATTCAATTCTTTTTTTTCTTCAAATATAATTTATTAAAATTTACTTTTGTTATGCTAATAGAAAATTTATTTATAAGCAAATTTCTATATGAAATTAAATTAATCACATAATTTGTTCTAAATCAATCACTAAAGTATTAAACTATTTTCGAAATTTCAAAATTGAAATACAAAATTATCAAGCATTAATAAAAAAATTATATATATATATATTTGAGTTTTACATTTTCATAAAAATATATATTAAAAATAAATTACCTAAAGAATTACCTAAAGTTAAAAATTTTTACCTAAAAGTTAAAAGTTAAAATTGAAAATTTATACGGCGAACATATGATTATAAAAGAGGAAGTAGAAAGAAAAAAGAAAATTTAAATGATAAAAAAAAAAAAGAAAAATCAAATAAAATGCGATTCAAAAGAAAAAAAAAATGAAAATAAGTTTGCTTTTAAAGGAATATTTTTTTTTAAAAAAATAATTGAAAATTTGCTTATTCATTTATATTAATTGAAAAATAAAAAAAATTACTTTTCAAATTAAATCTCTAATTGAAATTGTTTGACGAAGTGTAACATTTTCAAACTTGTTTTCCTATTTTTTTTTTTAAATTTTTTTTTATTTACTTTTTTTTTTGATATTTTACAACGAAACAAACAAAATATTATTTAGCACTTTTTTTTCTTTTTTTTTTTTTTCATCAAATGTTCCATTAACAAAAAGCAAAAAAAAAGAACGAAAATCTAAGAAAAGCAAAACGCAGAATTTATGAAAAAGAAAAAAACCAAAAATTTTTTTTTTTTGTCACATTAATTTTTTCAAATTATTACTTAAAATTTTTATTTAAATAATAAAACAAATATAATTGGAATTCTTTTTTTGCTTTTATTTTTCAATAAATATTAGTAATTATGTTGGCAATAATTTAAAAATTGATATATGAACAAGTTTTTTTTTTTTTTTTTTGGTTTTCATAAAAATTTTCAAAATGTAATTAAAATATTATTTCATTAAGTGTATGCTTATAAGAAGTTTTTAAGTATTTCTATAATAAAATCTTACTTTTTTCCAATTTTGCTTCAACAATTATTTCTATCATTTCATAAAAACCATTTCTGAAAAAAATTTTTTAAAAGAAAAATAAGAAAATATTTAATAGATGAATAAAAGTACCATTGAAACTAAAATAAATCACACTTAAAAGCTTAAGTAGTATATTTAAAATTTAATATTAAAAAAAAATTTTCCCAACAATTAGAAACTTAATTGTGCTGTATAATTGAGATTTAACCATGCATGTAAACAACACAATAATTTTTTTTTTTTTTTGATTTGATAGAAATGAAACAATTTTAACAGTTGCTCTCTAACCTTTAACCTTTTAAGCAATGAAATGACCTATTGACTTGTTACTTCTTGACCTTATAAGGTGCTAATATTAGTGATTACTTTATAGCATGAAAATGAAAACATTTCAAGTGATTTCTCTTGGTCATTTGACAAACTTTTATCTTATTGTTTCTGAAAAATATTTTCAAACAATTTTGAAATTATTTAACTGTTAATTCAAATATTATTCATTTACACGAGCTAATTATGCTGATTAGACCAATTAAAAAACAATATCAGCTCCAAATCTATTATTTCATATTTCCCCCCCCTCCTTCCCCCAAATATAGCATTTTAAATAAATTTTGTAAGCTTAGCATTTCAAGCTTACAACACTTTTGAAATTGTTTAAATTTTGAAATGCTTAATTTTTGAAATAAATTTGCTTCTAAGTAAAATTTGATTTTCACTGATATTTTAAAAAGAAATAAAAGCAACAATTGAATTATAAATAAAATTATTTGAAAAAAAAAGTCGCATTAGAAGAGAATTTATTTTTATTAAAGAATTAAGAAAAAAACAATTTCAAAATGGTTTAGAATATGCAACAAATAAAATTGAAAAAGTTTTTCAAAAGAAATGAATGAAATAATTTGATAAAATTACTACTTAAAAAAAAAAAAATTGTTTACTGCTATAAAAATAATTTTTCGATCATATACGATTCATTGTAAAATTAATAAGTTATGATAAAAATTATTAAAAAATTTAAAAAATAAATAATATATATTTTAGCAAAAAATTATATATGCAAAGAAAAGTATTTATTCCAAAAAAGTTTATTTATTGTAAACAAAGAGAGTTTTTGTTTTAACTTTTTAAATATTTTAATTTTATCAGTTTAGATTGGAAAAGTTTTTAAATTTTTTTATTTTAAATTAATGAGTAATAAGTGATAGAAAATGTAAACAACGAAATTACATATTTGTTATGTTTATAATATTTAAACACAAAAAATACTTTCATATAATTTTAGTATTATCAATTTTTAAACAAAATAATTCTTGAAACTAATTTTTTATTGCTATTAATGATTAATATATAATTAATATATACTACTGAATTTGATATAATAATTCTCTAATTCAAAAAATTTTAATTGTTCATTTGTTAAAGTTATATAATTTTGGTAAATGATACTATCAAATATCTAATTATAAGTAAAATATCTCTTTTTAATTATCTTAAAATGGTTGAAAAAAAAAGTTATTTCAATTTCAATTTTTCAATTTCAATTTCAATATTTCAATTTTTCACTTAAAAATATTTGGTAATAAACAATTAGAGGAAAGTTTTATATTTTTATTTTACTCACTCATTTATTCATCTTATCAAATTACATATTTTATCAATTTCTCAAATGCAGCATTAATTCTTAAAATAAATTAATATTATTTATAAATTAAAATTAAAGCATCAAAAATATGAAATGACAATAAACAAAATTGAAACATTCAATAAAATTTGATTAGTTTATATCAAAATATTCATTGAGGGATAGAATAAATCAATGAAAATAGCAGTCATTGAAGGACTTGTTTAAATGTATTATATAAATTTAATTAAATTAATTTGGTTGATTTATGTTCAAATAAAACTTGTTAGGATAATATTTGATATGATTATATCAACGGATCATATATATTTGAAAATTAATTAAAAATAGATATAATAAGATATATTGCACAAGTATTTTAAGATTATATCATTAATTTATTGCTTATTAAATTGCTATGACCTTTGAATCCCTTATTTTTTAATTTTATAAATTTTTTAAGTTTTTAAATTTATAAATTTTTTTGTTACTTTTTCTATAACTTATCATCTATTACAATAAATCTTAATTGCTGCAATAAAGTTAATACTTTGATGAGTTCTTTTTCTTCATTCTTTGATACTTAACCTTTTTTAATTGCTTAACCTTTCTCAGGTAAGCACTTATTACCTATTCCTCATAAATTCACTCTCACAATTATGACAATAATTCATATTTAAATGATAACTAAATTGTCTTTTGGTAGTCTTTTCTGTTAGTTATAAGTCATTTATATATGAAAATTTTTTAGGTAAAAGTTTTTTAATTAGAATTTACATAAAATTATTATTGTTATTTAAATTTCGTTTCGTTCAATAATAATTTTTTAATGCTAAGAAATCTAAATAACATATTTATATTTTAAGACATACATTTGCTTAATTATTATGCTATCAGTGGTGGAGAATTAAACAAACATTTTTAGCTAATCTCTAAACTAAACAAATGTAAAATATAAACTTTAAGATCATAGATTAATAGAAATTAAATTTCATTTAAGGGAACGAGCAGCATTTCATATAAGTTACGTGATCATACATCTATTCAAAAAATCATATGAAAATAAAACGTTTACTTATATAACGTCAGACTTACGTAATTTCAATTCATATCTTTTATCTCTTTTTTTTTCTCCTTATTATTTTACACTCTTATCAAATGTTAGCAAAACTTTTAAAATTTTCCATCATAATATAAAAAATTGTAAAGTTGATATTTAACTGTTAGAATTAAGCGTAATGATTGTTCTAGAAATATATATGCGTGATTTACGTACGTCAAAACTACCATGCATGTGACAATATTTATCCCTTTGACGATAATTCTGATAAAAAAAGCACTTATCATTTATCTTATAAATTATATTTATAAATCTAACACTTTATTATAACATATTTCAACCGCTGAAATTGATATTAATGAAATGAAAGTTACGAACGATTAATTTGCATATTATAACCATCATACCTAATATTTTAATTTGCATATGCATTCCATACAGACGTGATGAGTGAATATGCAAATTAATTGCACTGTGATTTTAAGTTCATTGTGTTATATATAAGTTCATAAGATTGTTCTTACTCATTTCCACGTATATAGCAATGTGCGTCACAAGCATTTTAAAAGTTATTTTTTTATTATCTAAGTTTGTTTATTTTATGTATAATAAAATTCATAATATATCGACGTGTTACGTGCATACCAACATATTTTGCTCCTTTATATTTGTTGCATATATAATGATATCACGTTTTTTTCACGCATTATACTTCAATAATTATTGGTTCCTTGTTTATGTATACTTAATTAAAGTACCATCAAATACTTTAGAATGACAGATGCATCTTTTTGCCAATACTTTTTGCGCAAAAAGACAAAACGAAAGAGCTATGTAATGAGAAAACAGAATGATAAATTTACTTAGAAATTATGGAAACAATAAAATTTTAATGTAAATTTATTAAAAGATCTAATTTCTGCTTTTCTCTTTTATTTATTAAAAATGCTTTTTCTTTTCAACTTGGCTTTTTTAAAAAAAATTATACAGAAATTTTAACAATATACTTCGTAAAATGAGCAATTTCATAATATTCACGTGAAGTTGAAAAAAGTTTGCATTAATTAACTTTGGGTAATATTTCAGCGTAGCGCACGTTGAAGCAACAGATCAGTACGTGATGGATAAAGTACAGGATGATAAACATTGTTCTGTCATTTCAATGATAAAGAAAGCATGTGAAATTCTCAAACAATTCGTTATCAAAAAACCGATACAAGCAGATAATGATAACCTGGCTACATCTGATGGTAATATTCTTGATATAGATGATGATGATTATGATTAATGATGACTGATAATGATGATGATTGATGATGATAATGATAGATCATGGTGGTTGATGATGGTGACTGATAATGATATGACGATTGATAATGATAATGACGATAATGATAGTTGGTGGTGGTTGATGATGATGACTGATAATGATATGACAATTGATAGTGATGATGATGATGATGATGATAGATGATGACAACAGTGATGATGATGATGATAGATGATGACAGCAGTCATGATGATGGTTGATGATAATGATAGATGATAACAATGATTAGTGGTGGGGAGTGATGTTGATAGTTGATGAATATGACTGATGATAATGGCTGATAATAGTAGCTGATATGAAGATTGATGCTGATGTAGTAGCCAATTTTAATTTAATTTGTCTTTAAATCTATCATAAATCAAATGATAATACTATGAATGCATTATTCACTTCTGATAATTAACAATATAAATTCAATTAGAGATAATGATTTACTAATTAACTTATTTACTGCTTTGATTATACAGCACATGTTATTATTATACATTTTCTTGTTCAGTATCCAATTTTAACTTTAGAAAAAAACTTAATTTTATGATTTGGAATATTAAATGGATCAAAATATAATTAAATTTATTAAATGTGTAAATATAATTGAACAGATCACTTTTTAATCATTTGAAATGTCAATCATGCTGTCAATTTTTTGTTTTATGCTAAACATAGATTGTTTTGTTTAGAATTGCATTTCATAAAGAATGTTGATTCACAGTTGGATTTTATATTCGATATTCGATCGCCACGAACAAATTTCTCATCACAAAGTATCAATTATATTGATAATCAAGATGATGATGAGCTGATAATGATATCAGATATGGAAACAGGTTTGATTGGTTAAAATATTGCAATAATTCTGTAAATTATACATTTAATTGCTAATGCACCGATTTAGAAGATCAAAGAATGTGCAAAATGTTTGGATGAGATAGTATATGACAGATCATTATATTTTTATTATCACCAAATTTACACTGAGATGATAACAAGAATAAAGGAATTGAAGTAATAATATTAAAAATCTAAATGATAATAATAATATTGATAACAATAATAGTAATAATGATAAATAAAAAGAACGGTAATGATTGCAATGAAGATAACAATCGTCATTATCAAATAAGGTAGGTTTATCAAAAAAATATATATATAATTCCAAAAAAAAAGTATATGCAGACAACGAAAGTATCTGAAAGGTCGAATTGAGGTCAATTGATACAAATAGAGGTTATCATAAGATCGGAAAGATAAAAGTGGCAGGTGATAATTGATCAAGTGTGATGGAATTAGTGCTAATGATATGATTAATTAATAAAATAGAACGAAATTTAGATAGTAAAGATTAAAATGATAATGACTGATAAAGTAAAGTGAAATTATGTGCAGATGATAAAATGATAAAGTAATGTGAAATTAATATCACTTCTGATAAATACGACGTAATCATTATATAATTTTTATGTTAATAATGAATTAATAATGTCTATCAATTTCACAAATAATTAGTAAACAAAATTTTTTTCGATGTTCATTTCATTTATATTATATTATCACTTAAATAATTCAAATCGCCAAGCGTTCTTTTATATAATTTCATTTTTTAAAAATACTTTCATTACTTTCTTTAAACCAAATTTAAATATTTCAAAATAAATAAAAACTTAATTTTAGCTCAGTTTTTTATTAAAGTCAAAAAAAAAATTTCTATATTCACTTAGTCACTTCTATTCTTTTTTTTTCATAAATTTTATTTCATTTTTTAACCAGTTGGAAGCTACGTCTGATCGCTGCAAATCATTTTCCGTTCTTTCTTTTTTCCGGATTTCCGCATTTGCATTCTTTTTCTTCTTTTTTCTCATCCACCCCATTTCTCTTCCTTTTTCTTTTCTCACTCTTTCATACTGTCAAATTTTTTTTTGATGTTTTTTTCCGTTCATTTTTTTGTGTACAATGGCGAAAAAGAATCTTAGCTTAGCAAATATTAGCATATATAAATTGGTTAATTCTATTGTTAAATTAATGCTTTTTTCTTTAAATTTAATTTCGTTCGTTTTTTTTTTATTTAAAAAAAATCAAATGCATAACATTTGATTTCTTTGAACTAATAAAATTTAATCTTTTTCGTTGCGAACCATTAAAAATTATAAAATGGTACAGCATTTTGATAAAAAAATGTAATTTAACCATAAATTTAGAAATGATCAATTAAACATTTGATCATTTCTAATTAATCATTCTACAATCAACCGATGAATGCCATTCGATATGATAAAAACGAGAGATTTAATATCGAATTATGATTTAAAATTAAAAAAAGAAACAATTTTTAAAATCAAATTGTCATAATGAAAATGAAATCTTGAAAATGATAACGAGATAAGATTAAGATTATTATTAGGAAATGATGCATAATGAATTATATGCAAATAGGAGAAACTAACACGAGTGATTTAAACCAAAACTTGATAATGATATTAATGATAAGTGCTACTAAAAAATTATTATTAGTATTAATTATAATGATAACGATCTTTTCACCACAATTTCTTCATACAACAATCATTGTCATTGTTAGCATTGCTATTACTTATCATACTTATCATCGTTCTTTCTTATCATTTCGTTTTCTTTTTCTCATTATCAATCATATAGCTTCTTGTAACATAAGAATATGTTTTCAATGTAGGAAACAAAAGATAAAAACTAAATGTTTTGTATCGTTTTACTTTAATGTCCTTAAATTGTACTAATTAATTACTACAACATATGACAACTGCGCCCAACAAAACACAACTTTTCTTCAAACATTTTGCAATCAATGAATTACGATGAAACGATTGTATGAGAATTAAATATGTACATATGTAAATATATTTTTCAATGCTATAAATGACATTCGCCTTTTATTTATTTGCCTTTTTTTTTTTTTTTTTCTCAAATTACTAATCACTTGGAAGCGGTAGGAAGAAAAAATCGCGGAATAAATTAATTCTATCTTGTCATCTATCTTCTCTTTGCTTATTAATTTCATTGATAATTTCTTCTTATTATTTTACCGTATTTTTTAATTTTAAAATAAATGATTTTTTATTTACATTATATAATATTAGTTTTCTTTAAAAAAGTTTTTTTACAATAATGGAATACACAGTAAGTGTATAGTTTTTTTTTTCATTTAATGTGTCATTAATTTGTCTTATTTTACTCATCGTTCCAAGGTTATACGGTAAACCATTTACCGTATCATTTTTTCTCATCAGGTTATACGGTATATATTATATCATTCAATTATTAGCTTTTTAGTTACTGCATTAACTTATACGGTAAATCATTAATCCCTTAAGGCATATTGTATCATAAATTTTTTTCCTTGGCCATATTTTTTATCCATCCAAAGTTTTGTAACTACGGTATTATGTTTTACCGTAAATAATTTTTCTTGTTGTACAATTTACAGTATTACAAAAAAACAATGAGAGAAAGAAATACATAAGAATATTCAATTTTTTTCTAATTTTTAACTTTTTCTTTCTTACGATTTATTTTTTGATTTCTATTTAAAATTTTATTAAGTCTTCTTTTCTTTTATTTAGTACTATAAATTTCTATTAAATGTTTTTATTAGATGTTGTCAAGAGGTACTTCAATACTTTCATATAATGATAAGAAGTACTTAAATTAATCCTAATAGAATGATAATCCATTAAAGTGGAATTTATCTCTTTTATCTTCTTCCTTTTCTTTTTATTATTTCATTCTTCCACTTTTATTCTTTGCATAATTCAACAAATCTCAGCGTTCAAAGTAACAGCAAAAAATTGTATATGAAAAATTGTTTTTAAGAAAAGCAAAAAAAAAAACTTTTAAACTGCCTAAAAATCAATCAATGGATCAATTTAGAATGAACCTGATAAATTGATTACTTTTTATTTTTGTTCCTTTAAAAAAAAAAAAAAAAAAAGAAAAAAGAAACACCAAATAGAAAAAATTTTTTCTCATTTAGCCCTCTTTTTCATTTATTTCAAACTTGACCTTTTTTCTTTCTTTTCTGTCTTGATGTTTGAGTGTTTTAAAATTTTAAATTTACTTTTTTTTTTTGAAAATCAGTATGAATAATTATGTTAACCATTTAAAATATATTATAAACAAATGTTTTTCTCATTTAAAATTATAACTCTTATTTACTTTGTTTATTTATTTCTTTTATTTAAACTCATTTTATATTGTCCTTTGATATTATGTTGCATTATTGATAAGTTATTTCAAATTTTAAATATCGTTTGCCATGAACTATTTGTAAATTCTATAATTAAAAATGGAAGAATAATATTCCATAATTTCAAACAAATTTTATATTTGCATAAATTTAGAGTAATTCTGGGCTGTAGTGTCACTATAAATGTGTAATTAAATAATTTTCGTTTCATTTTTCTGCTTCAGAATTCAGGATAGCTTTTCTCCAAAAGAAAAGATGTAAAGATTTTTAATTATTTTGAAAATTAACAACTTAAATGTCCAATTAATCAAAAATACTGTAATAAAAATAATGCAATTAAATTAGGTATTTTGTTTGCAAAATGAAAGACATACCAAGTTTTTGGCCTTTTTTTTTGCTTTTGACTTCCTAATTAATAAAACTTATACGATGGTTTTATTTATAATTTAGAATAATTTCTTCCATTTCATCACTTTCGTGGATTTTTAATTCTTAGTAAAAATTTTATTAAGATAACAAATCTGAAAGTAAACTAAAAATTTCAAATTCATTTCTTTCCATTTCCCCTTTTCCTCTAAATTGCATACGTCTTTCGCCTTTTTTCTTCTATGTCTGTTTGATATTAATTTCAATGAAAAATTGTTCCTTTGTCAAATTAGTTTAAAAAATTTGCACAATTTATTATTTAATTGAAAATTGGACGTATGCTTTAATTCAATGCTACGCGTTAATTTCATTTGAAGTTATTTATTTATTTGTTAACTTTTTACAAATTAAAAAAAAAGTTATAATTTTTCAGTTTTATTTTTTTCTAAATTTTTAGAATGAAAATTTTGTTAAGCACTTACTTTACTATACTATTATAATAACATTTAAAGAAAAATGCCCAGTATATTTTTACTATGTTTTTAAAAAAAAAAAACAATTCTGATAATATACGGTTATGAAGAATTAATGTGAATCAATTTTATATTTATGCACCTATGCGCAAATATATAATAATTAGTAGGATGTTTTCAAGAAGGCATTTAAAAAATTCTAAACAAAAACAACGTCAACATCAACAACAACGACAGGAGCGCCAACAACAGCGACAAGAGCGCCAACAACAGAAACAACAACAACAACAGCAATCAACACGAGAACAAACAGAGCGTCAAGAAAAACAACTAGAATATCAACAACGACAAGAGCGCCAACAACAAAAGCAACGATTACAATATCAACAGGAAAGTTGTCAATCTCAACACTTGGAGCAGCTGAAAACGACGACAACGAAGAAGGATGAAATTAATATCAGTTCAGGACGAATAAGTGAACGTCTAATAATACGTACGTCTACGCCTACAGGTCAACGATTACGCTACGTTGTCACTCGACCATTTCTATCAGCTGAACCACGTCGACCATCATATCATTCAAAATGTTATCATAAATGTCACTGTAATGATCCTTACACTTCAACAAATTTCAACAAAAATTGCTCAACAGCAGCTGATATTTTAACTAATCAGAAACCTTATCAATTATCATCATCCATCAATGATAACTCATATAATTTCTTTAATCAAAACAATTATAAAATATTTATGGAAACATTATCACCAAAGAATACTAACGCAAATAATGATAAAAGTAAAAGCGATATAGAATTAATTACTTCAAATTATCATAATCAAAGAATTGATAAAAATAGCAAGAAAAATACAACTTTTTGCTCATTTGCGCGACAATTTCGTGAAACGCAATCGATGAATTATGATAATTCAAAATTAATATTTCAATCCCATTTAACCACTATTCTACCACAAATATCAACAATTAATTCTAAAATAACAACTACAAATTGTTTAAATAATATTGACAAAAGTTCATTGCCAGTAATCAACAAATCTCGACAAAAAGTTAAAAAGTGTGGCGTTTTCTACGAACAAACACAATCGTTATCACCATTATCTGTAAGTGATAAAGGTATGTTTACTGATAACGCTGTGCTTGTAAACTTGTAAAAATAATGAGAAAAAAATTTTTTGATCGCTTTTTTATTGATTAGTACTTATTTGTCAGCAGTTTTATCAATGAAATATTATATTCTATTATAAGCAAATGCAAGTTCATTTACTAAATTTAACAATTATTTCTCTTAAAATTCAAACTATAACATTTTAAATAATTTTTTTCAATTTTTTTTTTACTTTTTATATTTGATCAATTTAATCGATCTTACTATTATTTGAATTTAATTCAAATTTTGAGCAAATTTTTTTTCTTAGTTCTTTTAATTCCTCAATGATTATATGTTCAAAGTTTGTTATCAGCTGGATCATTACTTTTTTTAATTTTCTTTTTTGCCAATTTAAATAGTTGAAAAATCTATTAATTACTAACTCATTAATTAACACAACGACAATAGCTATACCTTTCCATCACTAAGTATTTATTCATTTTCAAGTTTTTTTTTTAACAAAAAAATTAATAACAATAATTACAGCAATAAATTTAATTCTTTGATCTATTCTATCTAATTTTTAATCTGTTCAATTTATTAAATCAACAGATGTTGGCATATTTTAAGCATTGATTAATTAGCTATTGTTCAATTAATTTATTTATATTCCAAATCATCAATTTTAGTTTATTCAAAAATTTAATTTTTATGTCAAAGTATGATTGTCTATGAACCGAATTTCATATTTTTTAACTTTTATTTTCTCTCAAATTCAAATAAAACATAGATTTGTTGAAATACTTAATTTAATAAGTAATATATGAAATAGGAATTAAATTTAAATTCATATCAAAATATTGGAGCATTTTCTATTCAAATTATATTATTCATATTTGTCATTCATCTTTTTTTTTCATAATGTTCGCAACAATTATAATATCAAAATTATTTCAACAAATACGCAATTTTTTCTTTTTAAATTTGAAAGGAATTTTGAAAAATGAATAAATTATGATAATAAATAGCTGTAATTCATGAAAAATTTACCATTTTTAAATTCATATATTTAAATTCATATAAAATTATTTTATTAATTTATTACATTACTTAAAAATTCATTTAATTTGTGTCCTAACCTTTAATTTTAACATTAATTAGTTACATTTTAATAATATTTCGAGTAAATTAAATTCTATTAATTAATTTTAGGTCAAATGATAGATGGCTAGAAATTATTATTTTTAGTATATAAAATGAAATTAATAGATAAATAATTTTATTTGTGCTTGAAATGAAAATTTCGAGGCACTTGAATATTCTTTATTTAATTAATTAATTAATTAATTAACCGTATTAGTTTAAATTAAAGTAAAAGTTATAAATTAAGTGCTGCATTAAATTATCATTTGTCAAACAACATTTCATTTTTAGTAACATTTGAAGGGATAAAATATTTTAATGTGTTAAATTGAAGAAAGATAGAGTAATGCATAATTAGTTTAAATTAGACCCATTAGAAAGTTGTTGTAATTAAAATGCTCAAAATTCATTTCAAAACATTTTCATATTGCTTAATTAATTGACTAATTACAATGATGCAAATTAGATAATATAATAAATTTCAATTCATCAATTATTGCTTTCATTAGCAAATATAAAATATAATTAACTTTTTTCTTCATTAAAATATTAGTTAAATTAATCATAAAATACATTTATTTTCCGTTTTTTTTTCTTCTAAAAAATGAATTAAAAAATTACTAATTTTAAAAATAAAAAATAATTGAAAAGATTAACTTTTTTGGGTAAATTTAATTAATCAATTAATGTAAATATTAAAAGATAATACTAATTAAATAATAATAAAACACAATGCTAAAAAAAATTTCGTATTTTTTTTAAATAATTATTTATTCTTTTAATTTCTATACTTTAATTTATAAAATTTTTATGAGAATGAATTGCATTATTTATTGCTATTAAAGTATTTAAAATTTATGATAAACAACTAATTGTTAATACTAAACTGAAATATTGTAATTGAATTAATGCATTAATTATTTGTACTTAATTTGTATATATAATTTATTTATATGTTTGCATATTTATTTTTCAATTTAATGAATGAGAAAAAAATTTATAAATCGAAATGAAAAATAATTTTACAATTAAAAAATGAAATAAATTTATGCAAATTTTAGATAGAAAAAGTTTAGAATAAAATATTTTCGGCTGAAATATCAATCATTCATTTATTTTCTTTGTTCTTTGTATTTGGAAAAAAAATAAAATTCTTTTTTGTTTAACACTGCAAAATAAAAGGAAAATAAAATTAACATTAATTTTTCTTCTTTTTTTTTTACTTTGAAAAATAGCTTACATTTATTTCATTTTTATTTTCAAGAATAATTTGCTAATTTTTTAAAACTTTTTTCATTATTAAATTAGCAGTATGTTTCTTATCATTAATAGTTTTTTAAATTATAAATAAATAAATGATAAATCGTAAATGCATTAGTATTCAATTTTATCTTGCAATAGGTAAAAAAAGAAATTAAAAATTAAATTTATTTTATTTCAACAAAAGAATAGGTCGAAATATGAATGATATAAAATTGGCAGAAGAAGGATAACTTAATATTTATATGAGTTATTAAGTAATTGAGTAATTGTTGAGTAAGATTGTTAGCACTGAATGACAATAATATTGGAAATGACAACAAATAAACACATTTACTTCAGGAAAAAAAAAATGAAATCGATTGATACTGAAAATATAAGTTAAAAGATACTATCAATAAAAGTTAAATAGGAAATTTTTTAAAATAAATATATCCAATATTTTATAATTTAAATATCGATCGAAAAATCTAAAAATCGAAATGATTATTAAATTTTTGAAAAAATTTTTGCGCATGAAAAAGTTAAAAATTTTATGAAAAAATTACTAAATATGCAAATTCTGCTAATTTGTTTTTTTTTTTTTTTTAATTGTATTATTTATAAATGATATAAGAAAAAAATATAAAAAGAATATAAATAATGTCGAAAAATTTTTCAAAATTTCTATTGAATTTTTTTTTTATACATTTTTATATTTTTTTATATACAAATTTTCAAAATTAATTATTTTATTATAAATAAAATCATTCTATTTTGTTTAAAATATTTTGAGCGCAAAAAGTAATAATTAAAAGATAAAAAGGAGGAAAGAAATATTAAATCTTTTAAAATTTTATTTCCTTTTTTCACCTCTTTCTCATTCTCACATTATAATTTGGAAGAATTTTTTTAAAGAAAAAAATTTATTGAAATAAATATTTTAAAATTATTACTAATTAACTCTTCACGAAATGATAATGACGAAAAGTGAATCAATTAGAAAACAAATTCAATGAATTTAATTTTTTTTAAATGAATAATTTGAACGAACAAATTTGGATAATTTTTTTTTCTCATAAATTATTCAGAAGAAAAAAAAAATAATTTTCTTTAATTTTCTATTTTCCAACCAATTTTATTTTTTTTTATTATGTAATTAAATTAAATTAGGATGTGAATAAATATTTTTCTCAAAAATTTCCATCAAAATTGGTAATTTTTTCTATTTCATTCAAATTTTTATGATATTTCGAAATATTTTAAAATGTATTATTTATTTATAAAAAAAAATTCTTCGAAAATATCAGTTTTCAAAAATTAGTTAAAATTAAAAACAAAAATGAAGATAAAATATCACTGTAAAAATATATCTTTGAAAACAATTTTTTCTAAATATTTTTTTTATCAATAATAAATTTTCTGCAGAATTCATTTTAAAATAATTTATTTTTCGTTTCATTTTTCTTTGTTTTTTCTTGTATATAAAAAAGAAAAGAAAAATTGTAAATACTTTAACAATTTTAACAAATAATCTAAAATTTAATTTTTTTTTCTTATTTTACTATTATATAATTTTTCTTATTATTAATAATTTCTCTCGAATATATCAGAAATAATATTTTTTTTTAATATAAAAATAAAATGCTAAATGAACATTTGAAATGAGATTAAAATAAATATTTTAGTAATGTGATCGGAATATGAATTTTGATTAGTTGCACGGATTTTTAAACTTAAAAATTAGTTTTTGTGATAAAATAATTAAGTAATCGAGTAAATCGTTTCTTTTTTATTAAGAAACGATATTATTTCTATTAAAAATTTGAAAATGCAATTATAAAATTTGTTTAAAACATTGGCCATTTATATTATTTTATTATATAATATTTTTATTTAACAAACATTTATTTTAGTCATAAAATTCCTAAAAAGCTTTTTTTATTTATTTACGTTTTTTTGATTTCAAAAATTAATTGCTTTTTTATTTTAAAATTTATTACCAAAAAAAACCAAAAATTATTTTATGGGAAAAATAAAATCAACAAATTAAAGTGAACAGTTTATTCATTTTATTACCAACAATTCAAACAAAACAATTTTATTGTTTGCTTTTTATTGAAAACCACAAGAAAACAAATTGGAATTGCTGAAAATAGAAATTGCCATTATAATAATATGTGGAAAAGAATTATATTATTATTCAATTTTAATTTTAATTTGATAATTAATTAACAATTAATTGTTAATTACACAATTAATAATGTTGAAATGAAAATAATGAATGAATGTTTATAATAATGATAATAAAATAGTGAAAATACTATTCTCATAATTATTATCATTTACATTAAGAATAATATTATCAATGATTTATCATTATTTTAATTCAAATATTCAGGGATTAAATATTTTTTTTTTAAATCAAAGTTTTTTTAAATTTAAGCTGTCTCTTCTCATTTTACGAATATTTTTGATGTAGAGATCATTTATCATCATCATTATCACTATTATTATCATTATAGTGATAATATTAGGAGAATTTAGAGCATTTTGATGATTTGAAATTTAAATTGAATTCATCATAGATGCATTTCAGGCAATTTTTCCAAATAGATAACAAATTTTGTCCTTTTTCTTTTTTTTTCGTTTTGGTTTTTTTCATTGAATGATTTTTATACGAAAATATCTAAAATAATTATGTCATTGCATCAATTATAAGTAAATAAGCGTAATAACAATTTAGTAATTAAAAAATTGAATAATTAATCTCAAATTTCAGATATATCAGTAAATTAATTTTAATTAAATTATTACTTATCACATCATCCACATTCAACTATTCACACCATCATTTAATGGTATAATTATGCTATTATGATTAATTCAAATTAAGCTTAATCATATTACATTTAAAGTATTATTTAAAATGCATTTTGATATGTTTGAAATAATCCCAATTAAATATAATTAAATTATTTTTTTTTTAAATTTGAATAGTCGGAAATAATTATATGTGAGCAACTGTATGCGATCGATTTACTTTTAAATGAATTCAAAATATAATTGAATATGTTTAAATTTAATTTTACTTTTATATAGTTATGAGATTAGTTTAATTTTAATGTATAAGAATTAATTACCTGTGAATAATATTGCTGGAATAATATTATTTAATTAACTTGAATATAATATAATGTCTTTGCAGTTAATTTCATTTAAATATAAATGAATTGATTTAATTTAAAACTAATTAAATTAGAATAAGTTGAATTCGTCTTAGCATATATCGAAATATATGCACATATTAATTAGAATAATAGTAGTAAAAATGCAAGCAAATCATGATGATTCATCATCATTTTATTAGTTTTATTTAAATTTCAATTTTATTCCTGCAAAATGCAAAAGTGAAAAACATTACTGATATTGAATTGCTGTAATGAGTTTGACCTAAATTTGAATTTCTAATTTAAAATCTATTAATTATTTAATTAGTTGGTATGAGAATTTTGTCAAACTTTTGGACTATCTAAAAATTTCAAATTAATTCAAATTTCTAATATTATTGTCAGAAAGAAGAAAAAAAAAATTGTAAAACTTACTAACAAAATATTTTTTAACATTACTTTTTTAATAAATAATGCATATACTTTGTTGATAATTTGAAAATAATCAATAAATGAAATAGATTAATCAAATAATTAATCGATAACTGAATAACATTTTTTCTTTGATACTATTCTTAATTCTAAAATAAATAAAATTTATCAATCTAATTACTTAATAATTCAATTATATTCAAATTATGATACGTTAACTTTTATAAAATGTTCGATCGAAATAATTCATTTTTTCTTGTAAGTTTCAAATGATACTTTTCTTGAGCGATTATAGCATAAAATTTTTAGTTCTTATTATTTGCTATTTCTTTTTTACAGAAAGTAAGCAATATTACCTATAATTAATTGTTCACTTCATATTTCTATAATAATAATAATAATAATAATAATAATAATAATAATAATAATAATAATAATAATAATAATAATAATAATAATAAAAGAGTAAGAAAGTAAAATTAATTCAAATTTATCACATATTACTTTCTATTAATTTATTCGTTTGATTAACTGAAATAGAAAAGTAACAATGAATTTTAATTGAAATGAATAAATATTAATGAATACTTAACATTATCAGATGATATCATATCATTGTAACATTTCAAATTATTATTATAACTCATTTAACATAATAAAATTATTTTTCTTTGTTGGTTATATCTTATTGTTAGTTTGTTATGAACAAATTTATAATAAAAAATTCTTTTTTAATTCCAAATTTTGAAATAAAATTTTTTTTTCAAATTATTAGTGCTTATTTGTTTTACAAAATGCATTTTATAATTTAAAAATATTATTATAATTTTATTAATTAATAATTTAAAAAGGAGAAAAAAAAAATATGAAATATAATATTGAAAAGTTGCACATTTTTTTATTTCATAAATACGAATTAAATTGAATTATTTTAAATGACAAAATAATTGATAGACAAAGAAATGGCAATAAAATAACTACTAAGTAATATAATGATCGATGATCAATAATGGTAGTAATAATTATGATAATAAAATAATGATAATAAACATAATAAACAAAAATATAATAATAATAATAAAATAATAATAAACAATATTAATAATAATAAACAAAACTAAAAATAATAATAATAATAATATACGAATAATTATAATAATTAATCCCAATAATTAAATAATTAAGCTGCTAATAACGAATAAATTGAGTAAATTTACTTATTTTCAATAGTTAAATAATTCAACTGAAAAAAATTAAATGAAAAAAATAAAATATTTTGAAATAGCAAATAATTAAATAGAAAAAAAATAAAAAAAATTAGTTTATAACAATATATATATATATATTAATAATTAATAACAAATAAAAAAAAGTAATAATTGATAATTGATGGTAATGTGCTCTATTTTGCCGCTTCAATAATACCTATGAAAATTATGTAATCGTTATAACTATGATAAATATACGATTAAATCATTAATTAATCAATATTATTTATTTTTTATTATTACTATTATTGCTATTTATTATTATTATTATTAATCATTATTACCATTCTATTATTATTATTATTATTATTAATATTATTATTATTATTATTACTATTATTATTATTATTATTATTATTATTATTATTATTATTATTATTATTATTATTATTATTATTATTATTATTATTATTATTATTATTATTATTATTATTATTATCATTTTATTATTACTATTTTATTATTATTATTATTATGAATATTTTATCATTAGCATAATTATTAATTCTTTTCCAATTCCTATTTAATTTCCTTTCGTTTTGTTTTCCTCTATTCTCATCATTTCAGAACATATTTTATTCCCTCATCTCTTCTTTTTCATCATTCCTCTTCACTTTTTATTATCTTTTCTATTTTTTTCATCCCATTCAATCATCACCAATTCCGAACTCTTTTCATCAGTTTTATCTCCTTTTCCTCTTCATTAACTCGTCTATCTTTCGCATTTTGACACTCTCTCTGCCATCTCATATCATTCATATGCTATTTTCATAATTTTTATTTTTGTAAAATGCGAAATGATCGAAAATTTTTGTAGTAATGAAATGTTTAACCTCGTTTATTCACTTTCATCACTTTCCTATTACTTTGTCTTTTTTTCTTTTTCTCTTTACTTGTTCACATTTGTACACTCTCTTTACTCGTTCTAGAAAAGAGAGAGAGAGAGAGAGAGAGAGAGAGAGGTAGGAAGAGAGAAAATAGGAGGGAAAGGATTGTTTAGTTTGAAATATACTGTTTACATAAAATGGACAGACGACATTTGGTGACATTTATTTGATAAGTTCAAACTATTGCTGTTATTACTGTTATTATTACTATTATTATAGTAATATAATATACAAAATATGGATTTATTCATTTATTATTTAAGTATATTTAAAAATCTATAAAAATAATTTATTGTTTAAATATATGCATTATGTTCAAATTAATAAAATGCATAATTTAAAAAATTTCGAAAATGTTTAAAATATAAATTTAAAAGATATGAAATTTAAGAAGATAAATGAAATCGATCCTATCCATTCATCGTTTTGCCATCCCATTCATAAAGCAAAGCAATTTGAAACATCTGCGCTGATTTCATTTCATTCATCTTCGTCTCATCTTCACTTGTTGCTCTTTCGCTCTTCTTTATATCAAAAATAATAAAAAAAAAATATATATAAAAATAATTTATTTATTTACTTTTTTTTTTTATTGCTCTGTTTTTATTCTCAGTGAATGCTGTGCTCATCTTGGCTTAGTGCCGCATTAAATAATGGTAAATTTAAATTTTTATTTCTATCTTTATTTTATTTTATTTTTTTTGCATCAAAAATTTATTTTAATTATTTGAAAAAATAAAGAACGATGATAAAGCGATAAAAAAATATAAATATCAAAGTAGTTTAATATTATGAATGCTTAATTAAGATTTATTAATTATAATTTTGTTAATGTGAAATGACAAATGTAAATTATTTGCAACAATTTAATATTAAGAATGCTTAACATTAAAAAAAAAATATTTAATTACTAATTTGCAGCATGTGATGAGCATTTAGTGATAAATGTTGAAAAATTTTTATATTTAATTGCTTAATGAGATGTAGAAAAGATTTCATATTAATTTAATTACTCTATAAGTGTTTAACTATTATTCACTTATTATTCTACTTACTATTTTAATGATCCTGAATAAATGGTATATGAATGTGATAATTATATTAATATATGTTTTGTTAATTTTTTCATTTATAAATGCTTTAATGAGGCAAATTAATTTAATTTTATTTCTTAATGAAATAGATACTAGTTAATGGCTCATTAACTATCTTAATTGGTCGATATAAAAAAATTTGATTATGATAGGATTAGTTAACGACTGATTAATAAAATAATCCAATTAATTTATAGCAATTTCATTCAATCAAGCAAGGTAAAACTTGAACCGGTTTAGTATCAGAATAGCGTATCACTTCTCATTCTAATTTAATTTGTAATAATGAAAGAAATTAGATAGTATAGTTGACATTTCAAATTGTTTCTTCCTCTTTTTTTTCCTTTTTCTTTTTTTATCTTTCTCATCATATAGACGAATTAGTTAAAAATTTGTTAATTCTTTTATTTTAACAAAGAAAAAAAAAAGAAGTTGAAAAGATTAATTCATTATTTTAATAAAAAAAAAAAAGAAAAAGTTTCAGTTAAAACTAACAAAAATTTGCTCATTTGATTAATTTCATTACTCTCTTTTCTTCTATGCTATATTTTCATACTAAATTCAGTGATAATTATAGAAATGCACGAAATTTTATTATTTTTGATTATAAATAAATTAAAATCTAAAATTAATAGTAATTGTTTAGAAATGTAGTGTTCGAGTTCTGCAATAGTAAACAAAAGTAGCAAAGAAACGCAAAAACATTGTATTTTGAAAAATTGGATAAAAATTCATTGTAATAAATACTATTAAATGAAATTTTAAGAATGTAATGAATTTTAATTACTAATTAATTGTTAGCATAAACAAAAATATTGCAATTATCATCATATGAAGAGGGAATAAATTAATTGCAGTAAAGTTGTTTATTAAATAAAACATTAAAACTGAAATCAGTTTAAATCTTTGGTTAATTTTGATTTTTTTTTTCAAACATTTTCAAATTTCTAACCTTTTTTATTTTAAGTAATTTTCATTTCAAGTACGATTTCGTCGACGTGAAAGTGAAAATAACAACAAAGAATTGAAATTTGGGATGCCATCACGATGTCTTTCCACTCCTCAATCATTAAATCGAAGCATTCCATCTACTTACGAGAGTAATCAGCTTACTGCTACACGTTCCACGTCATATATTGATGGTTTACCTGAGCCTACATTATCCAGTAAGTAATTTTATTTTTATTTCTTTTCTTTCTCCCTCTCTCTCCTCCACTCTCTCTCTCTCGTATTATCTTTCTCAAAACATTCAAGTAATTCATTGTAAGTTATTTATTATAGTTTTAAAAAATAATATCATTTTAATAGTTATGATATCAATATATTTATAAATTATTACGACAGTAAATAACCTTTCCTGATAACCTTTTAACTTTAGATTATTGTTTATATTTATTAGGAAATCAATTCCATATTCTTTTATATCATTATTATTTTGTTATCTTATCTCAATTGTTAATTCGCTTATCATTTTTCACTTTGCAAATTATAAATTTGAATTGTTTTATGAATTTGTACAATTTATACATTATACTTTTGAGATGAGAATGGCTATAAATTTCTGTATTTTAGATAATATTTGAACTTAAATAATTTTTAGTTTATTATTGATTATTTTTTAAATTTTCTTCCTCCATCATAGATAGTAGTTTAACTTTATTTATAACAGTTCAACTTTTATCTTGTTTTTTTTTTTCGAAATTATTGAATTAATAATTTCATTGTAAAAATGTTGCAAACAATAAATTAATTTCTTTCTTTAACGTTTAGGTGGTAGTCGAACAGCTATCGTTGGTCCTAATACAGTACATCGAAGTCGAGAAGGATCAGAATATGATTATGGTATAACTGATGAAAGAGGTTTTAATTTTTCTTTTTTCTTTAAAATTAAAATTTTTTGTCTTTTTCATTGAACGAAATTTAATTGTCAAAAAGTGATTTTTTTTCACAAAAAGCATTCTTTGGTAATGAATGAATGCTTAATTATTTTAAATATTAATCTTTTTAAAAGTCGAACAAAAAAGGAAAATATTTTTAGAGCTTTAATGATCTTTCAATGATTTGTATTGTAAAAAAGAAGTTTTAAAAGTAACTTATGTTTATTAAAAAAATGAAAAAAAAAAAGAGGACAAAAACCTGATTTGTATTATTTTACTGTGAATTGTAATTTCTGTTATATTAATGTGATGTGTAATTTTTGTCATTTTCGTATTGGATATAAACACTAAATGAATTTTATGGAAAAAAAAATACATGAAATTAAAAAGAAAATACATTAACATTTAAGTGATTGAAAACGTTTAAATACCTTTCTCATTCTGAAGAAATATATTTGGTAAAATAAAAAAATTAAAGAAAGATGATGATGAAGGGACTTGAAATTTAAGAATTATAATTTAATATATTTCGAGAATATTTCAACAGAATGAAATGTTATGAATTAAAAATAACAGTGGGAAATAAGAAATACTAATGGCTTTGAATATAAAAATGAAATATGCAAAAAATAAATATAAAAAACTATTATCAAATTATATAATTGCTAACTGTATTCATTGCTTATAAAATAAAAAGAAAGAATATTTCATATAAATGTTAAGGTGGCATTCCTGTACTGTTCCATTTTCTTTTTCTTTTTTTATCTTCCAAATATTTTAAGTACGATTAACTTATTTATGTCAGTTATAATTGCTTTCATTTTGAAATCAAAAATTTAATGATTTGAATTTACGCTTCAATTGATGTAAATTTAATTTTACTTATTTTTTATTGCATTTATTGATGCTCAAAAATTCTCAGCTGAATATATACATATATAATATATCAATTATTTAAATATGATTTCAAAAAAAAAAAAAAACTAAAATGCAATAAACTAATAAGAAATAATAAAAGCTAAGTTATTAATCACTTCATGTAGTCCATAATTATTTCCTGTTATTAAATGACAATGGATATTAATACTAAAAAGTTAAATATCTCTTTAGTATTTATCTTTTTGCTTCTTCATTATACTTTTTAAATGTTTGAATTTGAATATTAATTTAATTTATTTATGCCAATTATTTTTAGTTGTTTTTTAAATAATCAGTTTACTATATCCATTTATATTTTTTCTCTACATTCATATATTTATATATGTAATATTGTTCTTGATTGTTTAGGTATTATTACATATTATGCATTTTTAAAAGAGAATACAGAAATAAAAAAGAAAAAAAAAAGTAATAAATTACAGGAAAAAAATTAAAATAAATATATATAATTTTCAGAAAACTAACATTTATGCTATAATTTTCAATCAGACTTAATTATAGTGAAATTTTTAAATTTTTAAAAGAGGAAATTTTAGGTGATATACGAGCTTACTATAGCAGTGATATTACTCGAGCATATACATCACCTTCAACACCTCTCTCTCGATATGATTGTGGTGATCCGCCACCATATTATTGTCATAGGCGAAATACTCAACCAGAAGATGGTATTATATTCATTTCTTTATATCTTTTTAAATTGAAATTAAACTTTCAAATTTGATTTTATTTTTTCTCTATTTTAATTGTCTTTTGATTTAATATTATTCTTTTATACATTTTTTTAATTCACAATTGGTTAAACATCACTCATTTTGGCTAACGTAACATTATGTGAGATTTAATCATTGATTTTAATGCATAAGAAATGAATAATTTCCATTCCTAAATAAAATACGATTTATTACTCTTGAAAATTTTCAAGGAATTTGATTGAAAAGAAAAAAAAAATTTTTTTTCATCATTTAAAGATGATGGGCTAATGATTGCTATTTTCTTGTAGTACTCTTTGATTCTTTCTTTTTAAATTTCATTTTTCCTTTTTTCTTTTTCTCATTATTTTTTTTTTTATTTCATAAGTACTTTTTGGTTCTTTTTCAGTACTTAAGTATATCTTGAAATTTTATTCACCTTGTTACTAAAGTTTATTATGAAAAAATTTTTAAAAATTCCCATTTCATGCGTAAATTAAGTTTTACAAATATTAAAAGAAAAAAAAAGGAACTCAATGTGGAAATTATAAAATGTTGGTTAATTTATAATTTATCGAAATTTAATTGCATTGTCAATTTACCAAATTTTATATTATCAAATTTCTCGTCGTTCTTTTTAAAGAAGAAAAATCACACCGATATATGAGGAAGAATTTCACATTATTAAATGTCAATGTAGAAGGTAAAAAGTATTAAAAGTTGAAATCAAAATTATTTCTTGACAATGTAATTTTTTTATCAAAAAAAAAGAAAAAAAAATGGAGCTTTTATCATTCTTTCTTCTTTCATATTAATTCTAAAACATTTTTTAAGATAAACATTCGTAACATTTTCTTCTCTTCTTCTTCCTTTCTATCTCATTCTTTTTTTTTTTTTTTTTAAATAATTTAATATTTCCAATTTCAGCAGCTTTTTTTGCTCTTTTTTCAGTGATATGTATTATATATTTAAATACATTTTTCAAATGATTTTCCAAAGAACTAAAATCATTTCATAGCAAATTTTCTTTAGTTATGAATCATTTATTTAATAAATATTTTTTCACATTTATAAAATAAATAATCGAAATAAGATGAAATGAATTAGAATAGAAGAAAAAAAGAGGAAAATTTTCTTTTTTAGTACTGCTCAATATCTCATATTTCTTTTCCTTCTCTCCCTCCCTCCCTCTGTCTCCCTCTCTCTCTCTCTCTTTTTAAACTGTTTACTATTCATTTTAATTGGTGAAAATTATTCGTTTGAAAAAAAGAAAGAAGAAATAACTGAAAAGAAAAACAATAAATAAATAAATAAAAGATAAAACGTAATGATATTGAATGTAATTAGATTTAATCCAAATTAAATTAGCAGGAAATGATTTATTGTATAATAATATTAGGATTAATTTTAACACAATTATTTAATCCATGAGTAATTGAATTTGAGATTATTTTAAAAATTTAGCGGAAAAAATAGGTTATTGTGCTTGGAAGATGTAATTTAATTTAATTTTGTTTATATTCCAGCACTGTAAAGTTTTTTTTTTTTCTTTAGTGAAATTTTTTTTTTCCTTCATTTGCATTTCTGACTTTTCTTTTTGTTGTTTTATTTCACATTGTTTTATTTTTTTATTAAATTATAACCATAATTTAGTTCTTATATTTCAATGAATACATAATTTTAAATGTATTGTATAATTCATTATTATCTCGTCTACAAATCATTAGAAATTATATTTATCTTATGCTAATAATCGATAAATGTATAGCCAGGATTGTCATCATTTTAAGCAAAATACATTATTGATTAAATTAAATGTTATTATATTTAAGGGGAAATATATGAAGAATATTTTACTTTAATTTTTAATTTAACTATTTCTTAATTTAACTGTTTCTAATGGTTTTATCACACTATTTTCATTCAATGATTCACTTATCAATGTTAATGATTTCATTAATTTTTCAAAATTTTTATCCCATTCAATTTATGTGAAAGAATTTTTATATTTCTGTTACTGATTTTTATATTTCTGTTTTATTTTTTAAGAAACGATATCATCAAAGAAAATAATATAATTTAAGTGAAATTAAAAAATCTAATAAAATTTAAGTAATTTATCAAATATATAACAATTGTACGCAGTTGTTCACATAATATTGTAGTTTGAATTCAAATAATGATAATAGCAGCAGAAACAACAATAAGACAGCGTTTATTGTAGCAGTAATTAAACTTAATGAATAAAAATAATAATTTCAGCAAGCTAAACTTATGATAATGATAATGATAGTGATAATGGCAAGTGGAATAATAATGAATGAAGATAGTATTATAAGTTGAAGGATGAGATGTTTAGAAATAGTAATAGATAAAATAGTATGAATTGAATGTCAATTTTACAATATTGATATTAATAATTGATAACAGCAATTGTTATCAATTAATCATAGTTGATATCACTTATATGTATCAGTATTATGATACTGATTTATGTGGTTAGTTGTATATCGAAGCAGTGAGTTGACATTGTTCTAATTGATAAGAAATATTTCAAGCGGTGTCTTAAATGAATAATGTGAACTTAGCTTTGATTTGAACAAAATTTCAACAAATTAAATTCCATGGGGAAAGGTGATTTTAAATTCGTGGTATTTTGTTCAAAACTTATTTTTTTATTCTCAATTTATCATATTTTGTATGGAATTTAGCATAGTTTATTTTGAGTTACATTGTTTATTTTGAATTAGCTGTATTTTTATTTGAAATTTATCACATTTTGTAATTTATTATATTTCATTCTGAATTTATCATATTTTATTTTGAAATTTATTAGAAAAAAAAAATAAAATTAAATTGTATGCTTTCATTTTTTTGTTCCTTTTATTTTTACTTTATTATGCTAATTAAAATTGATAGCAGCTAACAAAACATCATTTAAATGTGCGAATACTTTACATTGTTTACGTTTTTTAATTTTATTGTATACAACAAGCAAGTATAATATTGGATATATTATTCAATTTAAAATTTCAAATATATTCAATTTTTTTTTTTAAATTTATTTATTTACTATTAATCAAAATAATTCTTTCTGTCTTTATGATTGATTTTTTTTTTTTTTGTTATAATTGAAATGAATGTTGAAATATTAGCGATTAACTTTTATAAAAAGTAAAGGACCAAATAAGATTGTGTAGAGGAAGAACTGGAAGATGAGGACATGAAATTTCATTATCTTTCTAGGCTTCTTTTTCATTTTGTTCCTCTTCCATTCTCTTATCGATCCTTTTAATTTCCTCAACTCAACTCATATATAAATAGACAACTCTCATCTCATCTATTTTTCCATCCTTTTCCATTGCAAATGATTGTTGATGACAACTGCTTCAATAAAACAGAGGGAGAGAGAGAGAGAGAGAGAGAGAGAGAAAGTGATTTGAATTATTGTTGAAAATCAGGCGAAAAATGCATTTTGATGAATGGTTAGTGATAGCTATAACATCTACCCTACCCAATTTCAACCCCAATAAGGCTCAGTTGCCTAATTTGTGCTCATATTTGATGAATTTTAATTCTTCTTTCTATTTACGCGCATATATTTCTTTTTCTCCTTTGCTTATTTGTTGCAATCATAAACCTTATTCATTGTTATTATCAATTTGTACGCCATTGTTGTTGCTATTATTGTTATTATTATTTATAGGCTTATATATGGCACTCATCTCTTCTTAGTACTAAACATTTGCTAAATTTAATTGTTGTATATTTATATTCTATTCGTATTATAATTATCATTATTAATTATTGTTGTTAATTATTATTAATCACTTTATTAACTACTATTGTTATTAATTAATTATTATTACTATTATTGAATTTATTAAATATTTAATTTATATTAATCGTTAATTTAGTTTTTTTTTTTTTTTTTTTGGAACTATTAATTTAGTTTATCAAATATTTTCATTTTTTTTTCTTCACTATTTGTCATTGTTGCACAATCATTTTTCACTATTTGAATTTTAACATTTTAATTTTATATTTGGTGAATTAATTTTTGCAATTTAAAAATTTAATTGATCATTATCAATAATACTAATATACATTATAAAAATTGTAATTTTTTCTTTTTTTTTTTAAGGTCTGGTATATCCACTCTGTTCAACACCATTGTCTCGTAGTCCACGTTGTGAATTTTCACAAATAACTTCAACAATTGATGGTTCAATGTTACCTCGTACTAATCGACCACGTGAATTACGAATTACGCCATCGTCATCGTTAGTGATGCGTACAAATGATAATAGTGGTAATGGTAGTAATACTGCAACATCCAAACAAACTGCTACTATATATTCGACGTAAGTTTAATTTACTCTGTTTTTTTTTTTTTTTTTGAATTTTCAAAAAAAAAGATGAAACTTCTTTCTATAGTTTGTCTTCATGAAAAAATTTATGGTTTTTTTTTTTTAGTTATAAAATAAATCATCCTTCTTTTTTTTTGAATATGAACCTTTTTTTTTTTCAATAAAGCATTACTTTTTCTCGCAAATAATTAACTTAATATTATACAGAATATTTGTTTTATAATTATTGATTATTTTAAAATTGTATTAAATAATAACTTTATAATTAAAAAAAAATTAATTGCTTCTTTCTTCATTTATATTCCATCAATAATTTTCTTTTTCTTTTTTTTTTTTTTTTGTTTATTAATTTTTTTTATTGCAAAATTGTTAACGTAAGTAAATATGTAAGTAAAAGGTGTAAAAAGAAAAAAGAATGATTCTTTTTAAAATACTTTATCAATCATTGCTTGTTTTCGTTTCTTTTTTTTTCTCTCTCCCTCTCTCTCTCCCTCTCTCTCCTCTCTCTCTTTTCCTCTCTCTCCCTCGCTCTCTCTCTCTCTCTCTTCTTGCCTCTGTTACTCCCACTTCTTTTTTTTTTCAACTTATTTGAAAGCAATTGCTTTTTTGAATTTTTACTTTTTTTTTTCTTTTTCCCCTTCATATTAATCACTTTCTTTTTTTTTTAGTTTAGTTTAGAAACAAAATAATATGTTTGTTCATTTCAATTCTTTCTTTGAGTTGTTTTTTTTTTTTAATTTTTAAAACTTTTTTATTAGTTTTTTTTCTTTTTCTCACATTTTTTCAATCTTTTCTTTCCTTTTATTTTGTATATTTGAAAAATATTTTTTTTTTTTTAAAAAAAAAAAAGGATAAATAAATAAAATAGCATAAAATATAAAAACAGTTAATATAAAAAATATTTCCATTCTTATTTGTTTCCTTACAATAAAGAAAAATGATTCATTGTTAAATAAAATGTTATTTGCAAACATATTTTTACACTATAAGAAATAATGAAAAGCTTTTTTTCTCAAAAAAAAAAAAAGGAAGAAATGCCAAAAAAAATTTTTTTTTTTTTTTGCTTAATTTTTAGTTTTTTTTTTTTTTTTGCTTTTATAATTTTTTAATTTTCTATGAAAATTTTAACTATTAATCTTATTGATTCAAAGTTTACAATAATTTATTGTTAGCTACTGATTAGCATATACGATTAATCGTATTTCCATTCTTTTCTTCTTACACTTTATTATTGTTTAGCAGATTATTAAACTGACCATTAGCTATACCATTAGTGCGTCACTAATGACCACTACTACTGACCGTTGTTTTTATCCTTCCTCACTTGACCTTTTTTTTTTTTTTGCAGATGACCCTTTTATTATTATTAACTTATTTCTCTCTTTTCCCTACTTTTGTTTATCCTATCTCATGTTAACTTAATATAAATTGTAATGTTTTTAAAATATTTTTTCTCCTAAAATTATCAGTGTTTTAAAATAAATTTATTAATTCAATTTTTAGATTGTTAGTTTGGGTTTTTTTTTCTTAATTTTATTAAAACGATTAGCTTACAGAGGAGTACGATGATTTTTCATAATAATTTAAATTCTAAAAAATTTTTCAAACTTAATTCAACTAATTTTTTTTTTTTTAAATTTTATAGCTCATTTCGTTCGCACGGTGCATCAGGAAATACAACGCCTGCTAGCAGTGGTGCAAGTACATCAGCTGTAGTTGATGAAATAGTACCAATGAATTCGACAACAAATTCTCGAAAGGTTAAGTAAATTCTTTTTAACATATTATCACTTCATTGTATTATTATTATCATTTGAAATATTCTCAGGAATGCATCAAAAATACATTTTGAAACAAAAAAAAAAGGAATTGTTTTCATTCATTCCAATTTGATTAATTCATCAATTTCTAATTTTTCTAATCTGAAATATTTAAAATTCAGCTATTGATAAAATTGTGATTGATGATTGATTAATTTTGGGTTAATGTAAATGATAACGGTTTGATGACAATAATTTGGAGTTCTTTTTCTTATTTAAGATAAAATATCACTTTGATACCTTATCGATAAGATATCATTGATCTTATCATCTTGTATCTTTTTTTAATTTTTGTTTTTTATTACGCTTTTTATCTGGAAAGACGTTCTATTGAGAGTTGAAAAGCATACTTTAACAACTTTTCTAGAATTTACATTTATTTTTATTTTAATTTGATCATTCATCATTTTAAACAAATGTTCAAGAAAATATTGTGCTGTCTCTCTTTCACTCTTTCTTTCGCTCTGTCTTTCTCATATTTTAGATATTTCTTTAAGATTTTAGTTTGGAATATTTCTAATGAAACTATGCTTAAAGTGCATTATATATTTTAATAAATGTTCTTTTTTTTTACATATATATTCATGCAGTGATAAATAAAATTAATGAATTTTTTTTTATCTGAAGAAAAGTTTATAAAGTTCGCAAGTATTACTAAATTAAATTATATCACTAATTTTACTAAATTTCTAAACTTTTTAGTTAACGTTTATAAATTTTCGGACTAAAGTTATAGTTTTAACATTGCAAAAAAAAAATGAGATCACTTTATCAATAATTATATCAATGTGTCATATTAATATCAATAAAGTTGTTTATTTTAATTTATTTTTTCTCTCCTTTTTTCTTTTTTATAAATAAGATTACATAATAGGGATCTACTGAGTAAAATAATTTATATTTTTTTTTAATAAAATTTATAAAATTTATATGAGTAAAATAATTTATATTTATTTTTAAAAATTTGCAATATACTTTTAGTTTTATGTTATGTGTAACAACTTAATAACTAGTCCTAATATCAAGGTTTATAATTTATGATGAAACATGCTAACCAAAACTTTTGTCATCCAGAATATTCTTACTTCAAATTCAAATTGCAATGATTATTTTTTATTTATGTTGCTTATTTGATATGTGAAGTATTATTTTATATTTCAGATGATGGTAGCTCCACAACCACAGAATTCATATCATCGAGAGCGTGGTGATTCCAATCATAAAAGTTCACTTCATACGTAATCCTTTATTCACCAATTTTCTTTTAAAAAAAAAAAAATTAATTAATCATGAAGTTCAAAAATGAAACAAAATTATTATTTGTCAGTATTAATATTCAATATTTTGCATTTTTTAAATTTTTATAAATTTACTGGAATGTTTTCTTTTTTGTTTCCATTTCTAAGTTTGCAGCTTAAATTTAATTCGAAATATAAATTGTAATTTTATTTATTTTAGCCAACAGCGACGACAAAGTGGGGGTGCATTAATACCCGCATATCATATTTCATCGTTTGCTGATAATTGGCGATCTCGAGATCGTGATAATTCATCAGCTGATCAACAAATAATTGGCAAGTATTTCAACTCTTCATAAATAGAAGCAAGCAAATTTCATTCCAAATTAAATAGAAGCAATTTTATTCCAAGTCATTTCTCTTTTTTTTTTTTTGAATTCATCATATTTCAATTAATTCATTAAATTTAATTTAGTACTCATATATTTTATTGTATGTATTACATTTTTCAACATTTCTTCCGGTTCTCATTTACCGATTGTAATATATTTATTTCGTAAAACAATTCAGTTTTCAAATTTAAATTTAACTTTCATATTCAGTTGATGATCGTCGTACAAAAAATAATAACGATAAGCGGGTAGCAGTCTTAGAGCAACGTGTACGAGAATTAGAAGCTGCGGTCATTCCTGGTCAAGCACCATCAACATCATTATCTGCTACTTCCTTTATCATTCCTGTCGTAAATTCCAAAAGTAAGTTTTTTTTTTTTTTTTGAATGGTATTTGGAAATGTTTAATTTTCGTATCAAATTAATGTTTTTCTTTTCTTTTACTTATATTTGAATAAAAATATATGACAAATGAATATTATTATTGTTTTTGCAATTCATTCTCAAATATTTTTTTTTTATATGTACCATAAAGTACCATAGAAAGAGTACAATGAAATAAATCAATTTTATTCATAATTTTCTTACAGATTCATCACGTATTCTTCGTTCTGCTTCGGGTCAATTCGTAGTTTCAGCTGCAACAACACCAGTAACTCAACAACTTATGGCACAAGAAGTGGTCGATAAAGAAATTGAAGTTGAAAGGTATGAAGATAAAATTTTAAATTTAAAAAAAAAAAAAAGACATTTATTTTGAAGTTTTTTTTTTGTTCGCTTTTTTTTTTGTCTTTGAAAAAACCCTTTGAAATTGAATCAGTTTCCAAGTTTTTCATTAAATTATGTTTTCAATAAATTTATTTTTCATTACTTTATTGGTTCAGATTAATTAATTAATTAATTAATTATTTCATTGATTTGTTTCATTAATATTCAATATTTAAGGTTACAATCACAGTTGCGCAAATGTTATTCACGAATGGAATTACGCCAAGTACAATACGACGAAGAAGTTCTTCTTTATCTTTCTTTTTTTTTTTTTTTTATTTTTATAGTATTAGTAAATATAGTCTTTTTTAAGCCTCTTGAAAAATTCTTTTGTGCTCTGATCTTTGATCCCAAAACTTGTTTTCATTATATTATCTTTTGTGCAGAAGCAAAAATGTTTATTTTTACTTTTGCTATTGTTTGTCACATTTACTGTTATCTTCGTAGACTTTCTTCTTTTAAATTTTAGCTGCTTTTTTTCTTCTTTAGTTATACTTAATTTTATTCTTGCAATTAAAATAAAATTGACAGAATTATAATTTAATTTTATCTGTATTTGTTAATTTTTAAAGGTAAATACATTTCGTCGTGAATCTGAAGAAGCTAAATTGCAATTAACAAAAGTGAAAGCTCGATTAGCTGAATTGGAAAAGGAATGTGTTGCATATCGTGAAAAAGCAATGGCTGTTGATGCTAATCGTAACAGTGCTGTTGCATCATCATTAGAAAAAATCTCTGCACAGGTACCTCTTTTTTTCACTGATAATTAGAAAATTATCAGTGAAAAAATAAGTTTGTTACAATGACATTGGTATTAATTGATAAAATAAAAAAATAACGGTGATAATGATAATGACAATAGTAGTAGTACTACTTTCATTCATGAAAAATTAATTGTGTTCAAATTTTTCATAAATTATCACTGGCAATAAGTATTCATTTCAAGTTTTAGCGTGTTATTTTACATTAAAAGGATTTGATAAATTTGATAAAAATTGCTGTCATTTTATCATTTTAATAATTTGATGTATTGCTATGGAAAGGAATGAAGAAACAAATTGAAATAAAATGAAATGTATTTGTACTATTTTATTTAAAGCTTCTCATAACTTATTTTATTGTAGGAGCGAGAAATTGCAATGTTAAGGAGTGATTTGGAGCGACATATGCAATTAGTGAAAAATTTGGAACGAATTAAGAAGGAATATGAATTTTTGGAATTACAGAATGAAGCATTGAATGCAAAACTTGATTCGAAGGAAGCAACCATTCGAGATCTCGAGGATAGCATTCATGTTAGTTTTACTTTTTTTGGTACTTTGATTTTCCTTTGTATTTAGGTACTGGAAAATTTAAAAATAGCTAAATAAATAAATAAATAGTAAAGAATTAAATGGAATAATGAAATTAATAAAAATTTATATATCCTTGTTGATAATTTTGGTTTTAGAGTTTTTTTTTTTCTCGCTTTTGTTTTGTTTGATACTATAGGAAAATTTGTTTTGATCAAATGATTTTCCGTCCTAATTGCACTTTAGTAGTTCAATTTTGTTTCAAAAAAAATTTTTTTGAATTTTTGCAAAGAAAAAATTAAAAAGAACAGTTGATGAGTTAGAAAAACCAATTCAAATACTAAAATAATATGAATTTGTGGTAAGATAGTAATTATGAGAAAATATACTTTGAAAATTTTTGATTCAAATTTTGAACCAAAAATTGAATAAAAATTTTCGATATTTTTTATAGACAATGAAAATGGATGCATCTCGTAAAATGGAAAGTGGTTCGGTGACACCAAAAGCAGATGCTTTCTCTGTATTTGATATTGAACCAACGAAATTTCTAAGCAATTCAAAGGATTCAAATGCGGTATCTTTCTAATATATTTTGATCATAGCATATATCTTATCAATATTATTTGATAGAAAAAAGTTATATGATTTTGGTGATTTAAATTTCAGTAAATTGTGAAATATATTTTAAAGCATAGAAAACTTTTCGTTTTCTTTTTCGTGTCTTAAAAAGAACATATAGAAATAATTTATTAACAATTTGAAAAAACTAATTTTGGAATAAAACGAGTAATTCCCTTCTTAATGAAAAAGTTAAGATATCAATGATATAATTAAATCTATGTTATCATTTATTATTATTATTATTATTATTATTATTATTATTATTATTATTATTATTATTATTATTATTATTATTATTATTATTATTATTATTATTATTTATTACTTACCATTTATTATTTTTTTCTTAACTCACTGCTATTTCCATCCTGTATTTTCTGAATTATTATTACCTTTTTTTTTCAATAATTTTTTTTCAAATATTTTTTGAATTATTTAAATATTTTTGGTCATGATTTCGAAAAATCTATTGCTTCATTTGCTAATTTTTGAAATTAATTGTATATTTTTTGTTAAAAATTTTATTTCCCACTTAACTTTCTATATTACTAGACTTATTTTGATTAAATTATAATCATTCATATATTAAATGATTATCATTATAGAAAAGCGATCGATCCTTACATCCATCATCATCACCATCCGTAGCAGCATCAATAAATGGCTTAGAATCATCAAAACGAGTGGACAAATCATCATCTGTAATATTATCTGATTCGGAAAATGATGACAAAATTCAACTTTCTGCATCAACGTCAAAATTACTTCGAATTCAGTTGAATAAAATATTGGAATGTCGATTATTGGCTAAATGTTTAAAGGATGTAGCTGCAAAAGCAATTAGCGGTGATGCACCAAGTGTTAATCGTTTACTAGGATGTCGAAGTAAGTTGTACTTTATAATAATAGTAATTTAATTACTTAAATAATAAATAATATAGTGTGATTAATTTCTTTGTAGAGTTAAATGGTGATTTTTTTTTCTCCGATATCACTTGTTTATATGTTATTTAGATGATTTATGTTATATAATAGAGCAACGTTGCTCAACTTAATTACATAAATATTTAATGTGATTAATTATAGATTAAGCAAACTGTATTTTGTTATATTTGATGTGTTAGGGTTAAATAAAGTAAGCTAGAAAAGAATATAAGATTTGATAATATGGAGATAAAAATTTATTGCGAGTTAATAATAGAATAATTTAAAACTTAATAAATTACAAGATAAATATTTATTTATGTTATTTATAAAGATTTTAGTAAATTTTTATGGCATATTTGTTATTTTCCATTAGTTATTAAACGATTCATATGCATGGAAATCATATTCCTTTTTTTTTCTTTTTTTTTTTTTTTTACTTTTTTAATTTCTAGGTGATTCGATGTCAGAATCAGAATCAGAACCAGTACTGAATGATGGAAATGTAATGTCATCAAATTGTGCTGAACGACATATTAGAAAGATTACGGATGATTTGGAGCGAATTGAGAAAGATTTAAATTCATTACGTGAATGTTTCGTGGAATATTATCAGAAGAAAATTGCAGATGAATTGAAAGAGGATGAATCATGCCGTATTCAATAATTGATTTTAATTATTTATGTAAGTATTTGTTAATTTGATTCAAGTGCAAATATCAGGAATAATCTCAATTTTATCATTTGATAATATATTATGCAATGAAATTGAAAATAAATGGAAAAGTTATTATTGTTCTTCTTTTTGTTTTAACTTTATCATTTATAAATAATGAAATATTTCAAATTTGAACAAGAAAAAAGTTTTACTTTATCATCTTTTATTCATTTCTTTTTATCAAACGTCGTAGTAGCATTTAATGTTCCATTATTAGGTTAAAAAGTTAAATATGAATTGTTTATTTAAAAAAAAAAAATCAAAAAATTTAAAATACAAATTTATATTTGGAGTGAATATCTTGCAGTGAGAAGCAAAAGATTATATATGTAAGAGTTATTTTAAAGACAAATTTGAAAATTAAGAAATTTTAATAAAATATGAAGTAAATTTGTTGCTAATTTGTGAATTATATGATGAATTTTAATATGAATCTACTTCTACATTTTTTTTTTTTTTCATTAATTTCGTTATTCTTTTTTTTCTTTTGTTTTTTTTTTTTTTTTTTTTAATTTATGGTCTTAAAATATTGCAATTTCGTTATTTCGTTTAATTGAATATTGTGGTATCATAAAGGTCTCAATTAAAACAAAATTTATTTTCTTTACGATCAGATTTTATAATATAAAATTTAAAAGTTAGCTTAATTCACATCGAGTTTTTCTTTTTTGATCATGTGTTTGTTCATTTGTTTAATTTTTAATTAATTAATTATTTCTAAATACTTAATATGCTCAGAATGTTATCAATCAGATCATTTGCGCAAATCTTATCTCATCATTTATATATTTTCTTCCTTTTTCTTTCCTCGGGTATATGTATTTTTTTACCCGTTTAATATTTTTGGTTTAATTGAAAAAAAAAAATCCATAAATATGAAAAGAATTTTTGTGAAAATTTCTAATATTTTTATTTTCATTGATCATATATCACAAGAAAAAAGTACACATTTTATGCAAAATTAAAGTAATTTTTTTTTTTTTTGACAAATTTTTAAAAAGTAAAATTTTATATATAATGCAAAATCACTTTTACAAAGTTCAATACGGTTGTTAAACATATGCTCTTCCATTTTTTTTTTTTTTTAATTTAAAAAAAATGTCTTTCTTTGCTTAAATTTTTTTTCTCGAATATTTGATGTTTATTGTAATGAATGATTACTGTCGTTTTGACCATTACTATTATTATTATTATCGTTATCATTATCACTTATTCTATTTGATAAATATTTTCACTTATTTCTTTTCTGTTACAGATCTTAATATGAAACCAAGCTATGCAGTAAAATTGAAAGTTATGGTTGTAAAATTTAAATTTAATTATGTGGTTTTTATTTTAATGATTACTTTTTCCTTATTTAGTGGTAAATAATATATTTATATTACCTAATAACTCTATATGGAATATTTGAGTTTGAATTCTTTTTTTTTTCTATTTTTAATTTAACAATTTAATATGCTGATGGAAAAGTGATGATGTGGGATGTAGGAAATATCACAATTAAAATTTTTCATTTTAAAATTGATTTAAAAACTAATCAATTTGATTGATAATATGCAATTTATGAGCAACTGATACATATATGCAAACACAATTCTTCATTCGTTCGTGAATTTCTCTAACCAGCAATTAATGAATTGAATTTTAATGAAATTGATGGATTTTAATTAATGAACTTTTTGATTAATTTCTGTCTTTGCAGTAGATACAGTGAGATAATTAATATATAATCGTAATTTATTTAGATAATTAATATATATAATCGTATTTACTTCCATAATTAAAGTATTTTGTAAAAATGTTTTTAATGTAATTCCTTGCTTATTAATTAATAACTTGACATTATAAAGGAAATATTAGTTCATTAATTAAAGTGATTAAAAAGTGATAATTTTGAAAATTAGTGAATAATTTTAATTCTAAAATATGAAATATGTTTTTGTTTATTCGATGGATATTAAACCATATTTAAAAAAGCAATATCATAATTAAATTTTATTTATATTTGCAGTACTATTTTAATTTAATTGATAACGGATAACGGATTTCGTGTATGATTATTTCAGAAATTTTTCTCATCACTTTTTGTTATTTAATTTTATTAAAATTGTCCTATTTATTTTTGTTTTAGCTTCTTGTCTCTTTTTATTTCAAACTTTCACACAGCCATAAATAAACTTTTATTATGAATGATCATTAACTGAAGGTTAACTTTTCTTCTTTTTAAATTTTTAAACTTTTTTTTTTAGTTCAACATTCAACTGCAATCTAATAAATTCATCATCATTAAATTACAAAATTCGAAATAAATAATTTATTATTTTGAAAAAAAGAAAGCAATGAAAATGTTTAAGAATAATCCATATGTTTCATGAATTTTAATAATAATTTGCAACAATCTTTCGTTGCTTTTTTTTAGATGTTAATTTATTAAATTAATGAAATAAAAAAGGTTGTAATTTCGAATTTGCAATTTGAAGATATACCAATGATTCTCACTTTATTTTTTTCTAGCAATAGTAAAAAATATTAAATTATTTTCCTAAATTCTTTTTTTTGAATTTTTTAAGGTCTGTTACTTTGCTTTCTTTATTCTCTATGTTTATATTATTATTATTTATTATTGTTATTAATATTATTTATTGCTACTATCATTATTATTAGTGTTTATTTATTATTATTATTATTATTATTATTAATTATTATTATTATTATTATTATTATTATTATTATTATTATTATTATTATTATTATTATTATTATTATTATTATTATTATTATTATTATTATTATTATTATTATTATTATTATTATTATTATTATTATTATTATTATTATTATTATTATTATTATTATTATTATTATTATTATTATTATTATTATTATCATTGTTGTTATTATTATTATTATTAATTTATCATTATATTATTATTATTAATTTATTATTATTATTATTATTATTATTATTATTATTATTAATTTATCATTTATTTTCTGAGTAATAAACAATTTTTCCAGATGCAGTAAAAATAAAACGAAAATTGGGAAAATTTATTTCGCATACAGAAGTGTTTATGCAATCATAAAATAATGATATATATTTATAAGATACTATGATTACAACTTCTGATGAAAATAATAATAAAAACTTTTCATATGTTTACTTTCTTTCATGAAATCTTGTATAGTTTACAAGAAGAGAAAAAAAGAAAAGTAATTATTGTTGTTGTGTGACATCATCACCCAATAATAGATCATCGGTGACAATTTGTTTTGAATGATTGTCATCGTTATTACCATTACCATTGCAACCAATTTTACCTTCACCAGGTTGTACTTTTGTAATTTCTTTTAGTACTGGTACTGGACCACTGCAATTTGTGAAATTTAATCAAAGGATTAAAATTTAATTTAAAAAAAAGAATTTTTTTTTTTTGAAACTAAGAAATAATTTTAGCAAAAGTATTATTTAATATATTTACATTCATTTCAAACTTTTTAATAGAAATGTTTGCTTATTTTTATACTTTTATAATAGTTTTCATTTTTCTTTTTTTAATTTCCTATAAATTTTATTCATTGTTTTAATAGTTTTATAAACTTTGAAGAACATATAGCATTATGAAATATTATTTGCTAATAAAAATAAATTGGAATAAAATTTTGAATGAAAAAAGGAAATGAAAGATTTGTGACAAATTTCCAAACAAAAAAATTTAATAAAAAAAATTTTTTTTTTTTAAATATGAATTGAATTGCTTATAAAATGTTAGAGAAAAAAAAGTTGTAAAATGAATAGAAAAACAAAATTTGAATCAAATTTTAAAAATTTCCATGAAAATCAATTTAATAAAAAATGTAAAATTATTCGTAGAAAAAAAAAAAAAAAGAAAAAATGAAAAATTTTATAAGAAACATACGAATCAGATGTGATTTTTTCATGTTTATCGTTGATATTATTGTTTATTTGACGATTCATTTCATTTTTACCGGAATTTGCCGGATAAAGACGAATCGGTGGCTCATTTGGTGTGCTATCTTCACTCATAAATGCTGCTAAATGTTTACTTTTGAATGAACCTACCAATGTTGGTGTTAGCAAACTTAATGCAAGCATTACAGCACCGGTAGCAAACGTACATAAACCTGAAATTTAATTAAGAAAATTTTTTTTCCTTTTTTAAGTATACATTTTCTTAATTATTTTATGTTTATTTTTTGGTGAAATGAAACTTTTAAGCTGAAATAAAATTTTTTTGGTAAAATTAAAATTTTGATATTAACATTTGAAATGTTATTTAAATCAGATTACTAAAATTAAACTAAAAGTAAGAAAAAAAAGTGACAACTTCTCTTATTAGAATTGAAAATTTTTTCCTACTGAAATTTGAAAGTTAGTTAAATCAGTGTTACTTTATGAAAGGAACAAAGCACAAATAAATTAAATTAATTTTAATTTTATTTATGTTAAAGTGTTATTTCAAGAAGAGCCTGAAAGTGACATTCATTATTTCCAGAACATTTTAAATTTTACTCTAATTTGTTATGAAAATAATAAGACATGAATTTTAATTAAATTTTCCTTAAATATTTAAAAAATGAATAAAGAAATTAGATTTAACTATAATCAATTATTAAGCATTTTAATAAATGAACAATACATATTTGTTATTTTTGTGTAAATTATTCATATAGTAATATGTTTTAAATTTAGTTAATGAATTTTATGTGCTTTTAAAACTATGTATTTATTCATTTTTTACTATTTTCTCAATTTTAAATGTAATTTTGAATTTATTGAAATGGATTTTTTTTTAGTTTTAGTCTAAATATTTCATTAAAAATTAGAATAAAATGTAATACATAAAATAATTTTTATTTATAAAAGCAACGATATTTTTCTATTTTTAAAAAAAAAATTTTTTTTCATTAAAGTTAAAATTTAGTTT